ATCAGAATTAATTAACATTTCGTCTGTTTATCCGTTTCACCGTTTTGAAGGTAGCGAACCCGCGGCTAGGATAATAATAGAACAAATTGAATTCCGTAGTTTGAGTTTCGCAAACCGAAAAGTAGAGCGAAGAAGCGTATAATATGAGATAGTTCCCGCCGATCTTCATGAAAAGAACGTCATTCCATGACGTATCAAATTAATAATCCAATTAATGAAAAAATTAAATATTAAATATTACATTTCAAATATTTTGATATTTTACCAAAATTTTCTTAATTGACGAATATTTAAAAATTTTCCTTATTATATTATCAAAATTTTCTTGATATATTCGAAACTTCAATCTTGAACTAAGACGATGAATTCCCAATAGACTAAATAATTGGATTTTACTTTTGATATATCTCACTTTTCGGAAACCTCCTGCGTATCTGACAAAGTCACCTTGCCGATGAAAGCGTAGTACTTCGCTGCAGCCACGGGCATGCAATCCCAGCCGACCAAGGACAGAAGGTGCGATAAACCTCAGCACTTTCTTTGAAGATGTAGAATTGACGGAAACCACTTAGATTTTGACTCGAAACATTCATCCCCAAGAGCGGAAGAAAACAGCTCGATTTTGAAGTGGCCAGGTGCCGGGAATGCCCAAACACAGGCTCAAGCCCAAGTTGCCGTCCAATCATTCCATACTCTGCGTGGTTGCCATCGTCCAATTGGCATGATCCTGGAGCTTGCACCACGTGAGCTTCCCAAGGCCTTGTACACACTGAGAACCTGCAAAGTGTGATTTCTTCACGTATCTCTTCACGTACTCCAGTTGTCCTTAGAGCCCATCAGAACCTCAAGAACCCTTCGGCTGGCCGACGTCCTGCAGAGGCAAATGAGCTCAGACTTGATCTAGGAAGAACAGCTACAAATAGCCACAATCTGACCCTCACCAGTCACGTCCAAGTTTCCGTTCGCGGACACTGGCAAGGTCGAGCCACCCGAGCTGAAACTCGGGCCAAACACAGCGGCCGCCTCGCCGCAGTCAACGCCGAAGTAGCTTCCGTACTCCGATGCTCTTTTTCGGTCAAATTTATGAGCCTTGTTGTCCGTAACTTTCAGGATCGCCTCCTTAAGGCAAGGGTGATGCTGAATGCATATGCGCACTTCCGCTGCGGTACACTTCCCTAGGCACTTCCCAGCCCTAAGAGTCATCCCGAAACCACGAAAGCCCCCAAAACACCAAAAGCCCAATCATTGCCCATCCGTGCACCTTCGGACGTCTGCAGCACCAGCATGTGCTGCCGGCACCACATTCGGGATCGGACCCGTATCGGCCAGCATTGTACCTTAGCAGACAGATCGAGGCCTCTCCGGCAAATGATGTCTGGATGTTTCTTGTGCCACCGTGTCGCATATATTGCCAGCCATCATTCAAGAAGTTCCCATTCTCACACCTGTGCAAGAAAAACAATTCCCACATTCAGCGAACATAAAGCAGGCCACGGCTGGAGCAGCTGCGCCTTTGCCTTTGGAACCGCCCGACGTCGGCCACCCGCTGCATTCCCAGGATTTCTGGCATGACATAAGGGACAAAGTTCACCGGGAAGCAGTTGGCTCGCCACCCTCAAGCCCAAGCAAGGAATTGCGGGAAAACATGGCGCCGATGTGCCCAAGGCACCTTCTCGATCAGACCCATGAAGCAGTCCGCGTGCTTCCTGACAACGTGCATTTCATCGGCCATGTTATCCAGCTGGGACAAAGGAACCTCCAGGGTGGTTCAGCAAAGACTCGGCAACGACAACATGGATGGTCATTATGTGCACACGCATACGGGCTGAGGCTTTCAAGCCATCAGGGTAAGGCGGCTCGGGCAAACCAAAGCATGATGCGTTCGGAATGGCCACGCCTTTTGATAGCCACATTCGTTGGCACAGCTCTTTGCAAAGAACTCGCCGTTGCGGGATGCACCCATCGGGTGATTGACCCCGGGGCAAGTCTGTGACCAGGTGCTTTGGCGCGCCTGTGGAGACTCCCTGACCACGTCTGCGCAAGAGATTTCACTTCGGGATGCCAAGTTGCAACTGCTGGGCATCGATTGGTTTGCTGCGTTGGACGCAAGAGTTGCTTCATCGGAAATCACCTTGTAGCCGTCGGACAAAATCAGGTGGAAAAAGTCCGTGCTCTGGAAGAGGGCTGCCATGTTCAGGATCGAACAGCAAAGACGAGCCCCTTGAACCAAAGAGCTGGGTTCGAAGAGTGTCATACGAAAGAAAAAGGTCAGTGCAAACGTTAACATGTTCTGCTCTTCAACGTAGCGCAACACAGCCTTTCTCTTCGTAAGTCTTCCATCAAGCCCTCGTCGCCAGAGCTCTTGCGCCGGCTGTCGGACGCTCCGTAGACATGGCAGCGCGTTGAGACCGCATCAGTTGCTCGCAAGAATTCCGGTGAAGATGGCTTAGGGTCTTTAGAGCTCAATCATATTTCAAATTGAACCAACATTCTTCCACAACAGGGTCGAGTTGCCTCAGCGACCACTTCTCAGAAAGTACCTGATGAGTGTGCTTCAATGAACCCAGAACCCCCAATTTATGGAAGAAGTGCCTGCTCCCAAGAGACGAATCTGTTGGTTGAACGCTGCCGCGGCCCGGATCTCCAACTTGATGAAAACAGAATCTTGCTTGGGGGTTCCTAGAACGCCCGTGTGGAGCGGCCTCTGGCCCGATTGATTCACCGCCAGGGTTGAAGATTTCAAGAGTCTGTCAAGCAACAGCAGTGATGAGATGAGCGGTGTCTTCCGCGGAGGCTATGGTCTAAGAATAGTACAACATACCCCAAAGCCATACCCCTTAAACAAAAAATGGAGAATATAGGAAGGATTTGCCACACCCAGTAGTTTCTGTCAAGGGTGTGCCCTAGGGGTAGGTTGAATGGTTCTTAGATATCGGGAATCTTCCTCGCAGGTGCCCTGCGGAACGAATCGGGCAACCAGATGCCACTCCGCTTCCTGCTGCTCTACTGCCGACGACCCGGAGATCAAGCGAGTGAGTTCCAAAGACACCTGAAAATGGATCTGCATGGTACCAGTGTGAAAAGCTCCTTGACAAGAACAGCCTGCGTGATTTTTGGGGCATCTTGGAACCCTCGATGTGTCGGCAATATCCATTGTTGTAGCAGCCAGCAGAGGCTGCCGTCGAAACGTGCGATGTTGTGGTTTCGTGCAGTCTGCCCGCGGATGCTGCGGCGGAGATAGCAGCCCGTTCACGAAGAGTTGGGCAGGGACCACATTACTTGCTACTCAGAACTCCAGTGAAGCCTGTCAGTGTCTCGGCTAACAACAAAATGCATATTGTTGTGGTAGCAAGTCGAAAGGCAGGAGGAGGAACTGCGGCCTCCTAGAACCCCTGTCCTCATGTGGTTCCCACGGTTCAAAAAACTCCCGGAGCGGCTTCTGGCACGATTGATTCGCCGCCAGGATTGAATGTTTCTATAGTCTTTCAAGCAACAGCAGTGATGAGATGCGCGGTGTCTTCTGCTGAGGCTATGGGGACTCCTACTCGCAGGTGCCCTGCGGAATGAATCGGGCAACCAGATGCCACTCCGCTTCTTGCTGCTCTACTGCCGACGACACGGAGATCAAGCGAGAGAGTTCCAACACCTGAAAATGGATCTGCACGGTACACCACTATGGATCTAAGTGAGGACCTTGCGACTTGGAACCGATGTGTCGGCAATATCCACTGTTGTAGCAGGCAGCAGAGGCTTCCGTCGACTCTGCCTGTCTGTACTGCGGCCCATGCGGAGCTGGCTTTTCGTTACAACATCTGAAAAATCACACACAGAGGCACTTAAGCTGTTCTGCTGTGCTTGAGCTACGTCCGTTCCGTCTTCAGCTCGCACACTGAAGTCCTATACGCACCAAGGTTAGCATTAAACCCAAAGATGGCAGCTTTCAAACGCGCGATGTTTTGGTTTCGTGCAGTCCGCCGGCGGATGCTGCGGCGGAGATAGCAGCTCGTTCACGAAGAGTTGGGCAGGGACCACATTACTTGCTACTCAGAACTCCAGTGAAGCCTGTCAGTGTCTCGGCTAACAACAAAATTCATATTGTTGTGGTAGCAAGTCGAAAGGCAGGAGGAGGAAAGGCGGCCTCCTAGAACCCCTGTCCTCATGTGGTTCCCACGGTTCTAAACTCCCGGAGCGGCTGCTGGCACGATTGATTCACCGCCAGGATTGAATGTTTCTATAGTCTTTCAAGCAACAGCAGTGATGAGATGCGCGGTGTCTTCTGCTGAGGCTATGGGGACTCCTACTCGCAGGTGCCCTGCGGAATGAATCGGGCAACCAGATGCCACTCCGCTTCTTGCTGCTCTACTGCCGACGACACGGAGATCAAGCGAGTGAGTTCCAACACCTGAAAATGGATCTGCACGGTACCACTATGGATCTAAGTGAGGACCTTGCGACTTGGAACCGATGTGCCGGCAATATCCACTGTTGTAGCAGGCAGCAGAGGCTTCCGTCGACTCTGCCTGTCTGTACTGCGGCCCATGCGGAGCTGGCTTTTCGTTACAACATCTGAAAAATCACACACAGAGGCACTTAAGCTGTTCTGCTGTGCTTGAGCTACGTCCGTTCCGTCTTCAGCTCGCACAATGAAGTCCTATACGCACCAAGGTTAGCATTAAACCAAAAGATCGCCGGCGGATGTTGCGGCGGAGATAGCAGCCCGTTCACGAAGAGTTGGGCAGGGACCACATTACTTGCTACTCAGAACTCCAGTGAAGCCTGTCAGTGTCTCGGCTAACAACAAAATTCATATTGTTGTGGTAGCAAGTCGAAAGGCAGGAGGAGGAAAGGCGGCCTCCTAGAACCCCTGTCCTCATGTGGTTCCCACGGTTCTAAACTCCCGGAGCGGCTGCTGGCACGATTGATTCACCGCCAGGATTGAATGTTTCTATAGTCTTTCAAGCAACAGCAGTGATGAGATGCGCGGTGTCTTCTGCTGAGGCTATGGGGACTCCTACTCGCAGGTGCCCTGCGGAATGAATCGGGCAACCAGATGCCACTCCGCTTCTTGCTGCTCTACTGCCGACGACACGGAGATCAAGCGAGTGAGTTCCAACACCTGAAAATGGATCTGCACGGTACCACTATGGATCTAAGTGAGGACCTTGCGACTTGGAACCGATGTGTCGGCAATATCCACTGTTGTAGCAGGCAGCAGAGGCTTCCGTCGACTCTGCCTGTCTGTACTGCGGCCCATGCGGAGCTGGCTTTTCGTTACAACATCTGAAAAAGCACACACAGAGGCACTTAAGCTGTTCTGCTGTGCTTGAGCTACGTCCGTTCCGTCCCCGCACTTCGTGCGGCTTCAGCTCGCACCATGAAGTCCTATATGCACTAAGATTAGCATTAAACCAAAATAGCAAGGAAATGATACTCCTTAGGATTCTTTTGCCCATCACGAATGTGTTGGACATGTTTCGGCAGCATCGAAGCAGTTTCAGAATGCGCTGCAGAATCATGCTGAGCTACAGCGAGAGCCTGTAGAATCATGTCAGAACATAAGGTTCAAGTGTACTTGTGCTGTGGCTGCCCAGTGCTGTGACAGAGACATGCTCGTTGCCAGTTTGCTCTGCATTTTGTTCAGCCCAATTCTGTAAAAGCTAAAGTTCTGGGTTTCAACAACAGCCCTGCAGTGGTTACAAGGCAAACACAGCCCTATTTTGAAGCCGTTGCCACTGGGGCCCTTCAAATGAACAACTGAAGATAAGTTTGGGCGGTCTGGCGGCTGGAGAGTTTTGCTTACAGAAAACTAGGGGTGCCGTCTTTAGGGGTCCTTATCATAAGGATCGATGTTAAAGTTCAATATTTATCAGGGTCCCCTATTTTGGCCCTTCGCCTCAATCACACAAGCACCAGTGGTAATTCCTCGACAGCCTTGTCGCCTGCGCCAAATGCAGTGATTCTGCTGCATGCAGCTACTATCTATCCTTCGGTCCAAACTCAATGAGAGCGGAGTTCATCGGTCAATGCCTCGAGGAGGGGCAGGGGAAGGGGGGAAGGGAGTGGGGGAGGGTGAATGTCAGGGTCTTTGAGGCAGTACCAACAGATACAGTCAATAGAGGTCAGGTGACAGGGAGAGAGCGGTTAACCTTTACTTTTAGTTCATGAGTTCTCTAGCTCCAAGATCCTGTCTCACGGTGAAAAGGGGCTTATAAAGAGGTTCTAGATCCAATAGTTGGTTGACCCTGTGAATTAGTCCCTTTCCTGTAGTTCTCTTCACTTAGAAACCTTACCATTTGGTCTCACCGCTGTACCTTTGGATAGAGAACTTCATGCACAAGTTAATGCTTTCATGGACAGGCTTATAGTAAAGGTTGTGTTCATAAACCGCGAAGCCCTAAAACCCTAAACCCTTAGGTCTAGGGGGTTTCTGCAGGCGAATCGGTTTCAGGGCCTTCTTAAAAGCATACGGCATTAGAAAATGTTCCTTCTTAAGAGTGTACTAGACTAGAAAATAGTCGTTGTTGTTCCGATTTTCAAGATTGTACTACACTAAACTTGAAAGCAGGAATTCAAAAAACAGTCTGGGTGCCAGGTACCCTCAAACTCACAAGTCCCACAAGGTCGCACCCTGTGTGAGGCTTACACCCGAACGTTCTAAAACCCACAACACCACACAAGGGCAAGCCCCGAACTCCCAAGATCTAGAGATAAAAGCCCAACCACCTGCGACTCAATGGGCAAGCCTCTTCATGTTTCACGGTAGTAGAGGCGTAGCTTGTGGCAGGCCTTGATTTGGGACCATGGCAGGAATCTGGGAACAGGGTTCAGGGCGCGTTCAGGGCGCCACGCCAAAACAGGTTTCTTGGGGTTTTAGAGGACTTCCAAGAGCTCTGCAGTGCAGGTTCAGCATGTCTTCTCGCAGAGTTGAGACCAGGCTCTTCAAGCATCATGACGTCTGGAGCTCTCGCCTTCAGATCCCAAACCGAAGATTAAAGTTCAAGCTGCTCTATGTAAACCAAGGAGCAAACCCCAAATCCTACACGTTCATCCAAAGTCGGGCTATCAGTCCGAAGCTTTTGACCTACACCGTTTTTGGGTTGCCATATTTCTTTGCTGTAGAACCCTAGCCAGAGAAGAGGTTATCCCACCAAAACAACGACTAGACTTTTGTTCATTAATATAAAGCCCAAACCCAAACAAGAGTATCCCAAAAAAGCACCGCATTAATTTAAAGCGACTGCGATGGTCCGTAGACCGGAAAAGTTGGGGTGGCTCTCCTTGCCACTTTGTCGTAGGGGCCATATAGCATGCATCAGGGACTTATATTAGCACATTGCAACAAAGCAGGTTTGGGTAGGTTTGGGTAGGGTAAGGTATTCCATGGTTTGTAACACGAATACGGAAGATGCCTTTAAGTTCGGTTTTGGGGCAAGAAACTCCAAACCGTGAAATGCCCTGCCTGTCATGCTAAGATGCCGGGCTCCGCCAGCGGTGAGTTGACGTTCCAGCCAGGCCTTGCTGATTGGGACCATGAAGGATCAACAGCATTGTTACTCCATGATGTGCCACTGACAAGTATGTCACGGCCCTTCCATCAATTGTGCTTTGTCCATCCCTTGCGAATTGATTCAAGTCGCTAGTTGCAGCTTGCTGCTCCAAAGCTTCCACCTGAGGGGCTCTCTGTCATGCTTCGGATCCTCGACTATGGCAGCGGACTCCGCCGAGGTCAAACAAAGGCTGAAAGCTAGACATACCCCGGAATAATGTACGATGACGGGTGTAGAGTTTGGACATCCCCAACCCAAAGCTGGAAGATTCAGCTAACCTTGAGTGACCCCGGGCCTGATACGGAGAGGTCAGGGCCGTTCCGCTTCTGGTCTTTCCTGTCCGCCATCAGGTACTGGGAATACAATCCGCTGTGAGCCTCGCACGTTGCCTGGCTGTCGTTTCGGCTTCTTTTGGTTTCTTCGTGGAGGCAAGCGCGCTAGTAGGACTGCTCCATGGACGGGATAGGCGACGTGGAATTCGGCAGTTTAGTAATCTGAGGGTCGTAAGCTTCTTGGGTTCTTCTAACAGAGATGGCAGAATTTTGCAGGTGCGATATTTCCAGGATATTTCGAATCTCTTGCCTGGCTCCCCGTGATCTCCCCTGCTTGGAGCTTGCGGTTCCACAAAGTCATCTTGGAGATCTCGCACGCGTGGTTGCCAAACCGCCAGTTCTGGAGGAAACTGCTGCACTGGGAGTGCCGAAAGACTGAGGTACCGTCGATGTAAACATTCACGGTCCCTCCATCCAAAACAAAGACAAGCTCGTGCCACTTACCATCGCGTATCGAGGAATGTTGACCTGATTTGCGATGGTGAACACCATGAGGGTTGCACAGCAACTCGAGCTTGGTTCCAGCACCGTTGATGAACATCGACGTCCTCGACGACCACATCAGGTAGTTCGTAAAGTGTGCAGCACCGGCATCCGCCTGACGAACAAACCAGTGAATCAACATAAAGCCCGACCCAGAGTTTTGACGACCACAGGCCTTGTAGAAGAATGCAAGGGTCATTTCATGCTCCTTGCATCCAACCTCACGAGACACACTGTCATCGGTGCCAGGAATCGGTGCCAGGCAGCGTGCTCTTGAACCTATACAGAACCCCAAGCACCAATTCAGGCCACGGCCAAAAATTGTCGTTGTTGCGGTAACCACCCCATTTCGAATCTGGACAAGTACAGCTCGCACTCGTTGCCTTGGCACGAGGGCTCTCGTTCCAAATTGTCTTAACAAGCTCCTTTGACATAGGTGACAAATATTTGGCTAGCACTGTCATGGACTGGCACATAAACATAAACAGAGACATATACCTATGCATATATCGATATATACATATATATCTATGTATATATATATATATACATATATGCATGCATACATACACGGAGATCATGGGGGACCACGGACCCAAACCGCGTGACATCGCTCTTGATCACCATTCGAGACCACGGACCCAACCGCGTGACATCTGGTCTAGCGCGTGACCCTGTCGCTCATGACCGGAGACCATGGAACCACGGACCCGCACCGCGTGATGCCCACCCAGCCCGGCCCTTGTCGCTCATGATCGGAGACCGTGGGGGACCCCGGACTCAGCCGCGTGACACGAATCTGGCCAAGCGCGTGACTCTTCCTTTTTCTGAGGAGAGGACCCCAAACGGTTCCTGCTTGGGGAAATACATTCATATGCATCAATACATTCACAAATACATACATGCATGCATACATGCATGCATGCATACATACATTCAGGTATGCATGCATGCATGCATACATGCATGCACGCATGCATGTAGTCAGACATTCCTGCATTCGTAGGATTCGTAGGTACACACACCTCCTTACATTTCCAACTTACTCACAATATGCATCTTGGCAAACAAAGCCTAAAGATATTTGCGATCGAGGAAAAGATATTGGCATGTCTCGGGGCTCGAAGCCGGCTGCTTAGGGTTACTTGATACTTGTCCACAGTTCTTACAGTTCTTGAGTGGCTGGCTCCGCAGCTGGTTCGTCCAAAGCTTCCACCTGAGGGGCTCTCTGTCATGCTTCGGATCCTCGACTATGGCAGCGGACTCCGCCGAGGTCAAACAAAGGCTCAAAGCTAGACATACCCCGGAATAATGTACGATGACGGGTGTAGAGTTTGGACATCCCCAACCCAAAGCTGGAAGATTCAGCTAACCTTGAGTGACCCCGGGCCTGATACGGAGAGGTCAGGGCCGTTCCGCTTCCGGTCTCTCCTGTCCGCCATCAGGTACTGGGAATACAATCCGCTGTGAGCCTCGCACGTTGCCTGGCTGTCGTAACATTTCGGCTTCTTGTGGTTTCTTCGTGCTTCTTGGGTTCTTCTAACAGAGATGGCAGAATTTTGCAGGTGCGATATTTCCAGGATATTTCGAATCTCTTGCCTGGCTCCCCGTGATCTCCCCTGCTTGGAGCTTGCGGTTCCACAAAGTCATCTTGGAGATCTCGCACGCGTGGTTGCCAAACCGCCAGTTCTGGAGGAAACTACTGCACTGGGAGTGCCGAAAGACTGAGGTACCGTCGATGTAAACATTCACGGTCCCTCCATCGAAAACAAAGACAAGCTCGTGCCACTTACCATCGCGTATCGAGGAATGTTGACCTGATTTGCGATGGTGAACACCATGAGGGTTGCACAGCAACTCGAGCTTGGTTCCAGCACCGTTGATGAACATCGACGTCCTCGACGACCACATCAGGTAGTTCGTAAAGTGTGCAGCACCGGCATCCGCCTGACGAACAAACCAGTGAATCAACATAAAGCCCGACCCAAGGTTTTAACGACCACAGGCCTTGTAGAAGAATGCAAGGGTCATTGAACGGCTCATCCTCCTTGCATCCAACCTCACGAGACACACTGTCATCAATGCCAGGAATCGGTGCCAGGCCGCGCGCTCTTGCAAAGGCACTCTACACACATCTGACTCATACGACACATGGTCCAGCCGCAGATAGGTCTGGATCCGGGCCAGTTTGCGATTGCCGCAGCACTTCTGTGCACCAGTCTCTGAGTGCAGCATGTATGACGTGATCTTGCTTGGCATTGCAAAACCTAACTGATGGATGGAGCAGGCGCCTGCACCTAGAGAAAACAAAACAATTATTTTACTTCGAACATCCACACCCTCTCTTGGTAGAGATACTCTGGGGTTGGGCACTCCGGGGACACTCTGGGGTTGGGCACGAGACTCTGGGGTTGGGCCTGTAGGGAGACTCTGGGGCTGGGCACTCCGGGGACACTTTGGGGGTTAGGCACTCCAGGAGACTCTGAGGTTGGGCACTCCAGGGAGACTCTGGGGCTGGGCACTCGGGGACACTCGGGTTGGGCACTCCAGAAAAAACTCTGGGGTTGGGCACTCCAGGGAGACTTTGGGGCTGAGGAATTTTCGGGGCGGGCGGGGGGCACTCCAAAAAAATATCTGGCGTTGGGCACTAAAGGCTGGGCACTTCGGGGACACTCTGGGACACTCTAGAGTTGGGCCCAGGGACAGGTTGAGGAGTAGACCGGGCGAGGAGGAGAGTTCCGGGCAAGGAGAAGAGTTGAGTTTAAAATCTAACAACCCCACACCGAGGGTGGGGAAAAACTGAGGCCACAGCCAAAAATTGTCGCTGTTGCGGGAGCCCTTCCATTTCGAAGCTGGACAAGCGCAGCCATTCTCCGTAACCGTTGTCGTTAATGTGGACGTTGTCGTTACGGTTGTCGTTGAGGTAGTCGTTGTCGATGTAGTCGTTGTCGATGTAGTCGTTTTCGTTGATGTTGTGGTTGACGTCGTTGTTGATGTTGATGTTGTGGTTGACGTGGTTGTTGATGTTGATGTAGTCGTTGACGTAGTCGTTATCGAAGTCGTTGTCGATGTCGTGGTCGTTGTCGTTGTCTGCGTGCGAGGGCTTCCGTTCCGAACTGCCCTACCGAGCTCTTTTGGCACCTCCTACTTGGGTGCAACAGGTCAGGCGTTGCTGGCTGTAAGGTTTATGAACCTGCTACATGCCTGTGCAAGACGATCTGTGCAAAATCGAGGCAAAAACCTGGCCTAAACACATCTAGCTCAGCTGACATACGAGAAGTAAGCAGGCTCCGTTGAAGGTAGTCTTCGACTTTTGAACTCAGGGCTTCAGGGTCTCCTTGGAAGGCTACTACGCTACCGTGGCCCAGAAGACGGAGCCGAAGTGGGCCGAAATTGTGAGCTCATTAGCTGCTGGCCATGCCTTTTCGGTGCATGCCCAAGTACACTGTAAGTGCGTGCTTCCTTCGTACGAGCGATGTGAACATACACGTTTGCCTGTCTACTGCTGCCGTTCCTGGAATATAGCAATCAACAGCGGCCGAGTCTACAGCGATCACCAGTGACGGTGAGCATCAATTCTAGTGTCTCGTTCTGCAATGAAACTCAAACCTCTTGAAGGTATGGCCCGAGCGGCAGGTATGCTGCGGTAGTAGAGTGTAAGGCCATGGTCCAAGCCGACAGCAGAGCACCTTTCCAGTCACGGGCAAGAAAGGCTTCAGGTCCACAAGGGTTCCAAGAGGCTGGCAGTTTGTGCTTTTTGTTGCTCCGATCCCTTGATTGTTCCTAGGAAAACCTGAATTATTCGAGAGTGTTGACTGGCACAATCGTGCTTTCCGCACCCGATCGTGTAATCCTACCCCCTAAATCCCCCCCAAAACCCAAGAAACCAAAACCCCTTAGAACCTATTTTCGCAGGAGCCCTACACCCACAAAAAAGTCTAGCGGTTTGCAGATTTGGCAGCACCTCGAGAGGCATAGGTTCTTGCAGGCTTCAGGGTTTGGGGATATGGGGTTTTCGGGTTTTCCTACGAAGATGGTTTCAAGGTTCCAACAGTGCTATCTAAGTGTTCTATCGAGGGTGGCAACAAAGATTCTCTGCATTGGGCCGCTCCGACAATTGCTGCAAAAGACTCCCATGTGTGCAAATTGGTACCTTTGCCCCACATTTCGACATAAACGAGTGCAGCAGCAAGGGTGCGGAGCATCAAAGGGCGATCTTGAACATTGTTTGGCCTAGCCCGGTTCGGCCGGGGTGGGGAGGGGAACACCACCATCTTCGTAGGAAAAACCTCATGCTTTGCGACGTGTTTTTGGGGAAACTGATCTTGTTTTACACCAAACTATTGAAAGTCCTGACGTGCATGCTGGTTTTGCGTTCAATCTTGCTTGTTTTGTCCAACCTTTACTCCAAGTTGCAGGATCCTGGATTTTCAATCAAGCTATGAGGAAATTTTTATCTGCAAGATCCTGTTTTGCGTCATGTCATTTTGGAACTCCACTTGGTCAAAGCGGAACTCCAATTTGTAGGCTCCTGTTCTCCGTCCTTCTATTGATTCTATTGGGGCTTGCCCTAAGTATGGGGAAAATAGCAAAACCATGCGTTGAATTCGGAAACACCTGAACTGCCTCTACGTGTTCCTGCTGACCGTCGTAGTAGAAGTGGGGTCCAATATGCAAGATCCTGGGCTCCAGGCAAGGGTCCTTCCTTCCTTGCGTTCCTCCTTCTTTCCTTCCCTTCTCCCTTCCTTCGCAAGACTTCAAAACTCTCGAAGGTCGAGGTTTTCCTACAGTGGATGGAGGAAATCTTGCACCACCCTCTTGATCTGCTCCAAACACACCGCCTGACGCCAACCCCAAACCCCCTTTTTAACATTGGTGATTGTCACGATGGGGGCAGTGCAAGATGTGTGTCATTAGGCCTAATCCTGAAACTCTGCTTTTCGCCGCAATGCTAGAAAAGGGGGCGCGGGGACAATGTTATGCACCTTGCGCCCGCAAGATTTCCTCCATCCACAGTGGGTTTTCCCACTTGGCCCACTAGGATGGTGCGGAAAGCAGGCTTGTGCCAGTCAAAACTCTCGAAGATTCGGGTTCCCCTAGGTTTTTCCTACAAACATGTGCAGAAAGCACCTATGTGCCAGTCAAGCCTCTCGAAAATACAGGTTTCCTTCAAAAAACAAGAAACGAACCAACAAAAATTGAAAACGACCACCCCGCCCGCAGGCGCCCCCCCCACCCAAAAGAAATAGAATGAATAGTAAACACGTAGGTTCATCAAGTGCCTGTTAGTTTTTAATATGAAGTTAGTCTGTGAATTGATTCGTTAACTAATTCATTTATTACTAATGCAATTCGAAATTAATGATTTTTGGAATTCATTTACTAACTAATTAATTGATTGATTGGCCGGTTCATCAATTAGATAGCTAATTTGGTAAACTAATAAGCTGACGAATCAACTAAGTAGTTAAGCAATGAATGAGTCAACTAATTAGTCAGTTAGGTACTTAGTTGACTTACCAATTAACTCATTTGTGAATCAATCAAATAAATGAAAGACTACTTAAATTAGTTAGCTGCTGAATTCTTTGACTGAATAATTTATGAATATCCAAAGTATCAAGAAGCAGAAGAAAAATAATGATAATATCAATACCAATAAGCATGGTAAGAATAAAGCAGTACATCAATAAAATGCCCAAACATAGGCCTTCCGTTCCAAGAGCCCACACCTGGAGCCAACGTGTCTAAGAGTTGATGGCCTCAAGGCTTCAGGCAGTTTTTCAGCATTTCGCAGCTTTAGCATCGTCTGAAGCTCAACATTCTTGCAAGCATCCCGACACATGACGTCTGGACCAAACAACGCAACAACCCAAAGACTCCCAGATTCCACGGTGCGCCTTGGGCTCTCCTTAGAATCGCAAAGACGCAGACACGGCAGCAACTTTAAAATTCATATGAGGCACCCTGAAAGGTGTGTCGGCGTCTCATCAAGCTATGCGGCCTTGCCACATTTTGCCGAGCCACCCAAAAGCATCAGCAGGTTTGGGTTTGTGCTATCAAGTGCGGCTCGAAACTGAGAATTCCTGAATATGGCAGCCCTGGTGCCAACACAAATCAGCTGAGTGTGTAGAATGCGTGTCACCTGCGGGTGCGAAGAGGACACGCCCAGGAATATCTGGAGCAGCTGCAAAGCACTGCTTCGGGAAAGCAAGACCTGCCCCACGGCTAAGTTGCAACTGTGTCTCTTTCTGTGGCGGCCCCATGTACCTCGGGCGATGGGAGCCCCGAGTCGAGTTGCTTCGGAGCTGGGTGTTCTGGGTGACGTTTGCTACTCGAATCACCGTTATATCGCAGGCTCTAGGTGATTGCTAAAAGGTTGTGAATCGTGCGAAGGACCTGACTTAGCATTTACACATGGCAAATGTTGACAACCAATTCAAGGCAGATCCATCAGTGTAGTATTCATGCACGGTCATCAGGGCCGACAGATGGAATCATATTTCTTGTTTGGGACCATGGCGGACGGTGAATGCCCTTGCTGAGCATGCTGAGCTTCCGGGGCAACAGAAGGCCGCTGCTGTCCCTATGGCTTTCCGGCGCACCTTGCACAGCGTGCTCCCATGCAATCAAAGAGCAACGTGGATTCGCAGCCACTGCCGTCGTGGTCCAGCAGGAAGCTCTTCGTGTCACCTTTCCGGTGGTACCTTGAGTCTCTTGCAAGTGCGCAGCAAAGACTTCGAAAAAGATTGGCCAACACTGCTGCTAGTATCCAATAAAGTCTTGCCGTGTTTCAACACTCACCTGCACAGCTCCAGGGTCAAAGCCTTGCGTTGCAAATGCTGTCAAAATCTGGGCTTAACCCCGGCCTTGAGTCAGACTGACATCGCGCTGGCCCGGCTCAACATGTTCACAGGTAAGTTGCATGAAGTGCTGCTGCTTCTCCTGCGTCTTGGTGCCCTTCAACGCCTGGCCCAGGGGGTACAGTGTTGGGGGGCAAGTCGCAACTTGCGATGAGGATTTTAGTTGAAATCTCACGGCATGTCACAGCTCTAACCCCTAAACTCAGGGATCTTCTGTAGAGAATGCAGGAGCACTCCGATTCGTGAGATGTATGCACCGATTGACAGCAATCAGCTAAGAAGGAAGACGAATTCTTGGGAGTTGTCGGGACTGAGCCGTTTCATGTGGAGCTTTTCGGGGTGCTCTTAACGACCCGGCAGCTGAAGCCATCCGCGCTCCCTCTTGCCCCCAATGTTGCCGCACAGGCTAGTATACCACCCCAATAGCGTGGCACAGACAAAACACCTATGTCACCATCCGATTTCCGACTCATGGAGGGCAGAAAACAGCCTCAGAACATCAGGTTTTCGTCTTTTTCGTCTCACCGCGGCTAGGGCACTTCCGGCTCCCAAGAGATCCCCTCGAGGCCCTCCATGGTCTTGCCATCCCTTCGGCAGTTGAGGTCTCAAGGGTTCCTTTAAGGCATCCTTTTCGGCAGAGTTGAGGTCAGAGATCATTGGGATAGCAGTGCGTACGAATCTTCAGAGCTCCGACAAGAACTACAATCGCTGCGGGCATGTCAATGCTGAGTTTCACAAAAAGGGATTTGACTGCAGAAGCTCCCAAAAGCCTCCTGCTCAAAACGCCAATACCCTAAACCAAAAACCCTACACTCCGAACCCGAAACCCTAGACCTTGACGCCCTATGCCCTAAACCCGAAAGCCCGAGCCCAAAACGCCAATCGTGAACAACCAGAAATCTTGATTTCTTGCACAAGCGTCCGCAATGCTTCGAAGGCGGCGAGACTCACGTCCTCGTGGGTGAACCTTCCAGCGTTAGTGGTGCCGTCCGTTAGAAGCAACATGCAGATGCCAAACTAAGAAGCAATCCTTCTCTAACGGCCTTTAAATCGAGTCCTTATTGTTCTCGGACTCAGGAATGTCCCTATTGCGGACCCGCCGAGTCGAAGCTGGGGGCAGCCTAAACGTAAGAAGTGCCCTGTTCTGTTACGGGAATCCTCTGAATCGTGTTTGAATTGACATGCAAATAAAGCGTAAAGGAAGGCAAGTCATTATGAATGTCCACTGCCGTAGCCATGCCCGGGTTGAGCACATAAGGGTAAGAAAGCTATAGAAAGTGTAAAACACAGTGCAAGTAACCCGTAAAGTATTCTAGCAGCTTCGGGCTCATATCGGGAGCCTCCAGAATCACGGGCATGATGAAGCCTTTAGTTTTGCACAGGTTCGCATTTTTCCACGGGACAAAAAACCATACTTTTCCGGAATCCGGTGTGTTTCGGAGGGGCTCGAATAGGTGAGCGCACCACTTTCTAACACCCCTCAACCCTAAACACCACCTCGAGCGCCGGGATACCCCATGCACTCAAAGGATGTGCCTCCAGATCCTTCGGTTGTCCAATCCATCCTTGGAGTGCCAATGGCTATGGGGCTTCTGTAGGGTTTAAGGGTTTCGGGGTTTAGGGCTTTAAGGGTTTAGGGCTTTAGGGGTTTATCAGGGAACCTGAGCCTTGTCACTGCAAATGATGCTGTTCTACGTTTCAAGCTGGATCAAGGTTGATGCTTTTTCAAGCAAAAGATGCAAGCTTCTGCTATCACCATGCGCTCAGCGATCTGTCGCTGCTTTTGTTCTGGCAAAAAACATCATGCCAGTAGCAAAGAAAGACCTGATTTGCAAGACTAGCCGGAACAGGCAAGAGAATGCGAGTCCCACGGCAAAGTCCGAGTGTCGATGGCCAGCAAGTATCCGGCTTCCATGTCGTTGGGCAACCTCTGGAAGCACACAGCATCCGTGGCTTCGCACGCGCCGAACTTGTCACCCAGCACGTCGGTCTTGCCTTGGATGCATTGAAGGTCAGGCTTGGCTGCATGGAGAAATACTACCTGAAGCTTTGTGCACACAAAGCTCGCCAGCCGCAGTATGCAAACATGCAGGCTGCTGCGCAGCTACCATGCCAAAACATGGCATCTTCCCCCCCCCCCCCCTGATTTGGGGACGGGGGGATGCCCATGGTGGGGGAAGGGGGGGGAGAATGGAGTCTTGACCCTCTAAAAGCACGACACTCAACATACAAGAACTGCTGCTCTCTGCACCGTGGCCACCTGTCGGCCAGGAAGTGCCTGGAGGGTACCACCAGAACTTCTCAAAGACGTCGCCCGCAACTTCCACTGCCCCATAGGATGTGGCCTCCAGCGAGGCCCAGCCCCAAGGCGGAGGGCGCTTGGATGGTTTAGGGTTTAAGCTTCGGGGTTTAGGGTTTAGGATTTAGGGTTAAGTGGCCGTGCTGGCAACACTAAGCAAGCAAAGCAGCGCTATTTCCTATAGTACAGGGTGGGAGTGAGGCTGGGGACGAGACACCTTCCTTCCTTTTTTTCACCGATGTCAGACGTCGAGCCACCCAATAGCAGCTTCAGCTCAACTGCACGCGAAGGCTAAATGCAAAGCTCCTCAGACAACCCGCATATCATATAGAGCAAAGAGGTCCCCACGATCCTACGGCACCGGCAAGCCCCCAACTTGAAAGTGAATGGGCAGAACACAACAAACCGAAAACCACACACGAATAGTAGTGAAGATTGAGGCCAGCAGGTTTCCTGGCCATACTCTTCCATGCGATTTCTTCCAACAGTGGCTGATTCCGCACGCATTGCTCTCGCCTCTTCTCGAGGGCATAGGGGGGAGTGTCGGACCCCCGGGCGCAAAACACCCCTGTGCTGCTACAGCGAGCTAGGGTATGCTGTTAACACAATGGCCAAGACAGTTGTGTCGAGTGAATCAAGATCGGATCTTCTTGTAGAGGAGATGGCGGGAAGCCTTCGATCCTCACGTAAAAACACTATAGCCTGACCACACTGATTGGGAAATAGAGACCCACAAATGCTGTAGAAGCCCAAACCTGAAGTGCCATAGCCTGAGAAATGCCGCAGTCCCGATACTTTGCACTGACAAGAGCAGTGGTGCCCAAAGAAACTCAAGACTTGAAAGGTTGGTACATAACTCACCTCCGTGCACATGCTACAATAGCAGACCCTGAGGTCCTCTCGTACGCGAAACCCTGTGACCTCAACCATAAAGCACTCACTGCGCCTCGACAGCAGCAGCCTCGCAAGAGGGATTAAGGTGGATTTCGGCCTTAAAGAATTTAAAGCTTCTCTCTGACAACACTAGAAGAGCAACAGCGAAGCGCATGCTTGCGACATTGCGTTGCTTGGACAATCGGAGAACATGTACAAGAATAAAGCGAATACACACAAGAAGCCTCACCGCAAGGCCTCCACCCCAAGTGACCCTGAAAACCTGAAAAACTCGGTCATGGGGCTCCAGAGCCCAGCGCAACCTCAAGGTCTGCGCGCCAGAGCTTGCCGGGCTACTGTAGAGGCCTGAATAATGAGAACATTATGGTTTAAGGTTCCGAATATACTTGTAGTATAAGAACCCCCAAAACCCTATTCTAATTTTAAAGCCCCCTTGTATCATGTTACCACCTCTTTACCACCTCTACCCCAGGCAGCAAGTCGATCAACTCCCGGCCTCACATTGCACGCCTGCATCTTGTTTATGCTTGCAGGAAGTCTTGCCCCAGCCTGGCATAGAAAGCCGTGGGGGTTTAGGGTTTACGGAAAGCCGTGATGGATCATCCAGGTCATCACTACACAAGCAGCAGGGTTCTGCAGGATTTTGTGAGGTCAGCAGTCCGCATATGTCACAAGCGCGGAAAGTGGCATCGCCCTTATCAGGGGGTATGCCGGAACGCGCTTGAGCACACTTTGCAGATGCTAGCGAACCTTAGACTGAAACCATCAATAGAAAACCATCAAACTTGTAAAGGTCCGGAAAGATTCTGCTTGGCACTGCGCTACATGGGAGCTTCAGAAACTGACGGACCCAATTATGGACACTGAACAAGACGGGATCCGCATTATAAGGCACCCAAAATAAGGTACCCTACGGATACCTTGAATTTCTGAAACTCCCACTTTGGTTCCAGAAGGCTTGAGTATCCATGGCGTTGCAAGGCCACGCCCCGCCTGCGAACGAGCACGCGTCCACGAGGTCCTCCTTGCCGAAGCAGCCAAGCTTATCCATCCAGATGGGGCCACTTCCTCCAAGGGCCAGAAGGACAAGTTTGTGGGGTGGAGGGCTTGGTGAGCCCTACACGCATCGGGGTCCTTCTCCGAGTCCCAAGATGGCATTGCCACCGTAGAGGCCAAGCTCACGGCAAACAACTTGCGCATCGAGCTCGCTGAAAGCCTGAGTCCAGCATCCAACATGTGGGCTGCGAATCGGGGTCCTCACTTGCAGAACAGGCTGACGCATGCCTACTGCCTTAATGTGTAGAATCTAGAAGCTGGAGGCGAGGCGGCCGTGGCAAATGTTTCAGATCGACCTACACAACACAGAATATTCTTATATTTATATTATATTTATACTTATATGTATATTTACACTTATATTTATATTTATATTTTTTGTACGTTTATATTTATATGTATATGTGTATATTTAAAAGTTTATCTTTATACTTATCTTTATACTTATATTTATAATTAGATTTACAAGTACATTATATATATATTACACATATACATATACATAAATACATATATACATATATATATATATACGCAGAGACATGCACAGATCGCAAGGAAAGCCTGATCGTACTCCTATTGGGGGATCCTGGTACCCCCATCGAAAGACAACACTCTTCGGGTGCTGTTCCCTTGACTGGCAAACGTGGCGAGGGGTGGTGATGTCCCTTGGCATCCACATGCATCGGAGTTGCATTGTCACAGACCGTGCCCCACTTATGCTCGTGATACACCTCCAGTCGTCCGCGGGTGGCATTTCCATCCACCAGTCGCACTGGTACCTGCACAGGGTTGCGGTTCGGATGTGGATGCTCTTTAGATACTAAGCAAGAAAGAAAATCATCGTGTGTGCATCGGATTTCAGATGGGAAGCATCGCAAGTGGGGCCCAGACAGGTCGGAAGTTCGATGCTTTGGAAGGGCTCTACCAGGCAGTATTAGCATATTCCTATAGGGCTGTGTTTTGAGGCTTCTGGAGGTTTCGCTTGAAGTTGCTCTCTAGGTTTCGGCCTGGCACTCCACAGCGACGTCTTGCTCGTGGCTGCAGTCGTGCTTCGCCCAGCCTGCAAGCGTGGCTCATGTTGGAAGGCTCTTTCCGATCGTTTTACGGTTCCGGGTTCAGGATGTAGACTGGATTTAGGGTTTGGCTTTGCGCGTGGGTTAATCCCGTCTCCCTTCTAGGTGTTGGGTCTCACTGGCCCTTGACCCTTGACGCGACCCGGTTAATGCGGGGCCGGCTCCTCGACATAAGACCTCAGCAAGACAGCTGATAGCTGCTCTGATTGGCTCCAATCACCTAACGGAAAGGCCAAGGCCCTAATGCAATTAGGGTTCTAAGCAATCCTGGTGACCTCAGTAGCCGTTACTGCAAGCCCCGCCTGCAAACACCCCGTTACTCACGTGACGTGCTTTGCGAGGCCTGGAAATCGGCAGGACTTGAGCGAGCTCTCCCTGCCAGAGCACGCCACTTCGGCCATCCAAATGGTGCCCTTTCCTGAGATCTCTGGCAAATACACCCAGCGTAATTCTGGCAATAAGCTTCAGAGTGCAGAAGGGCCGACAGGCACGGGTCGGTGAAGCTTTCCATAAGCAGTTACCCACCTTCTCACAAAGGAAAACTTACTTTTTCACGGTTCCTCCGAATCCGAGTTCCCCCAGCACCCCACAACGCGCAGCTCGAAACAGATTGCGGGCTGGCTTCCGGCGAATTCGCCTGTGACACGTTTTCCGCCTGGAAAGCCAAGCTCGCGGCAAACGACGTCCGCACTTTTCTCGGTGAAGCCCTGGCAGCGTCTACAGGCGGGGGCCAAGGAAGGAAGGAGATGTCTTTTTGTTTCTTCAATGAGAATCAGCTTGGACAGTCCATCAAAAACAGCCAAACGGCCTTGCTGCAGACGGTGCCCCATGCGTGGTGATGGTAAACCTCCACTCTGCCACGATTGCGCTTGCCACCATCCACCAATCGGACTCCGGCCTCCACACAGCGGCTTCATGGCTCAGCGATAAGACCGCCAGCGCCCGGGTTTAGACCCCAAACACGACCCTAGACCCACTAGACCCAGGTTGGGGGATTTGGACCCGGTTTGGGGCTTGCGAAACCGACAGCTCAACGCTCTTTGATGCTCGTTGGTACATGCTTGGGCCAGCTTTGGGCCTTAACTGGGCATGTGATTGACTTCCTGCAGGGTAACCCTTAAAGCCCCAAACTAAAACTACCCATGGAAGAAACTGGAGGCCTCCGAAAATTCAGGCAGCTTGAGGTACTCGCAGATCAATCCCGAGGGATGGTCTGAAAGCTGCCAGTCGTGGAACCTGGGAACTTCTCGGCTCTGAACACATAAAAACTAAGAGATTAGGGTGCAGGCCCATGTGGTCTGTAGGGGGTTTAGTGAGTTTAGGGGGTTTAGGGCTTCTTTTCGGGCTCAGTGCCCAGCAGCCCCGCGCGCTTGGTGGACGCGGCGTCGCCGAAGCCGAAGCCAACCAACCCCGCCTTCGCCGCATTGGTTGTCCACTGGTTGGTCTGCCATTTGCCACTCCTGGGGTGTCAAGTGCGGATTTATGGTCATGACTTTGCAACTAATTCTTCCGGGTCCTGTAGGCTTCTGCCAGGAAGACGTCCACGTCGGAGGAGGCATTGGCCAGGTCGAAGTAGCTGTTGATCTGGCCATGCTTGATGGCCCACCCAACGGGGATGCCCTTGTTCTGTGTCAGATTGTGGCCGGTCTTCTTCACAAAATCGTAGGCAATCTCGAGTTCCTGCGTCACAGGTCTTGAGGGTCTCGGTTAGAAAAGAGGCGATGGCGATTGACGTTTGGGAGACCCCTGATTATTAAACCCTTTGTCTTTCAGGGCTTTTTTTATGAAGATCTCTCTTCTAGCCCATCTTAACTCAAGAGAGAGGAAGGGGCTCAGCTGACCTTGGCAGAACTGATGGACACTGGCATGAGACCCCTCTCCGCGCACTTGCTCTGGACTTGCTTCTTGAAAGTGGCCATGTCCTCTGAACAGCAGGGTCTGTTGGGTGGGGTTGTGAAGGATTTTTCGTTGGAGTGCGGTGCTTGCTGCTTCGCCATGCTGATGATGTGTGATGGATTATGTGACTTTTGGCTGTGACGACTGATTGTGCATTTCATCATACGTGATTGTGCCTATTTAAACAGCTGAAAGAAAAACAAAAAAATCCCTCTGTCGCCTAGGATGGTAAAGTTCTCTGCTCCAGATAAAGAGATGCTTCGCATACGTTGTCGGCTGACGCCTGAAATCCTAGAAGTGCCATCGCCACCAAAAAGCATGTCACGAGCTCGGGATTCTTCAAAGCCTTAATCGCCTAACCCGGTGATTGGGCTGAAGCTCTTATGTTCCGATCCCCGCCCCTGCCCAGCAGCCCTCAAAGAGTGAACGATGCATGCAGCGTTGGTTGCAGACGAGAGTCCCCTGCCAGGGATTCCAAACCCTTGGTGACCAGCAAATACCTCATTGGGTAGTGTATACATTATATGCAGTGTATGCCGTATGCCGATTGTTCTCATTGCCAGAACGGCTGATATTCTCAGTAGCAGTCCCATCGGAGCGTCAGCCAGGTGTATCTAACATAAGGGAACACTGAATGGGACGCAAAGGCTTATGAGACTTGGCAACTGGGGTTATGAATAGGGTAACGATACTCATAATTACTTATAGCCGCAATTACGGTGCTTATATCTGTACTTACTGGGTCCCCTGATCCTCCAAGTAGGATCTAGGCCCAGGCTTAGAACTCCTAAACCCTAAGCCCTAAACCTCAGACTCTAAAACTCCTAGCTGAGCTGCCGGGTTTTCACGTAGCACCCCTGGGACCCAGCCTCTGAGGCTGAGCCTTGGCCCAGAGAGGTGGCCACGGGCTCCTCGTGGCGAAGGGCTTTTGACATGCTGCGACTTAAGGGTTTAGGGTTTCGGGTTTAGGGATTGGGGTTTAGGCTACTTCTGCAATGTGCTTCGGCTTTGAGGTATTTTGTAATTTCATAAGGTTTCGGCATGGGTTTGCCTTCAAGGATTTTTGAAGTTCACGAGGTTTAGGTCAGTTCAGGTGCTGGAATCCTGTTCTGATCATGCCATCTCATGAAATGGCCCAAGGTCTGCATCACCAGATTTCCCTCGTGGACCCTTCATCGCTATCCATCGATCTGTATATGTATATATGTATATATATATATGTATACTATGTATACACATATATATATATATATATTTGTGTGTGTATGTGTATATACATATATCTCATATGTAAAAATACACACACGCACACACACCAAGAATTCCATCGGAACTGCTTCTCTACACTCACACCATTGTATCACCATTGTAAACGTAGAAAAGGGGAGGAATACTTCCGATGGCAAAAACTGAGCTCAGCCCTGCTTCGAGAATGTGGTGGCAGCGCCCTCCGGACCACTCCACTGCTGCACAGCTCTCCTGCAGCGCGGGTGTCGGAGCTTTATGGTTGGGAGGGTTCGGGGTCTGGAGTACTGACCCTTTAAGGTCATCTTCGCTTTGGGCTCCAAGTGCAAGATGCTATTTTGGGAATTTTGCCAAACCGAGATTTTCCCATTCGCTTCCGGGAGCCCTTGCAAGCCCTTGGCAGCACTCTTGCTTCCTGCATCGTTCCTGCCCTCCTTCCGTCCCCGCCCGTACAAAGAAAAGACAACATAAGAAAGTACCCCACCACCAAACTTTGGGGCTTTAAACGTAAAAGAATACTTCCTTGTGCTGATTTGTGATTGGTCTAACAGGTGCACTGCGGCTGACTGCTGAGCCCCGTCCTGGGAGTCGCAGGCTTCCGTGCAGGCCTCCAGGTCCGTGGCAGCGTTCGCGACGCGTTTGGGGCCGGCTGCACAGGACTTGAAAGGAACATAACTGAGCTGGGTGTGCTGGGTGCAGTCGTTGGTGCAGCCTCCCCAAACAAAGTTGGTGCCATCGTCGCAGGTCTCGGTGTCCCGAACGAGCCCATCTCCGCAGAGCGCAGAGCACTGCAAGGAGGGGCTGGTGCTGCAGCCCCAGCCGATGTCCACCTCGGGATCATCAGGGTTTGGGGTTCAGGGTTTAGGGTTTAGGGGCCTCGGTAGCTCTTAGAGGTCGTCCTGGGCCCTCAGCTTTTGACAGCTTTGGACACAGATCCACCTGGCAGGTGGCATTGCAGCCTTGCTGCGCCCTGTTTGCAGGTGCAGCTGCAAAGTCGCACTCCTCGTTTCCTGAGACCAAGCCATCCCCGCATTGTTGCGGTGCTCTATCCTGGGCGCCACCACACTGCCAGATGTTTGCCGGATCCATCACCTTGGGGATAAACACCTAAGCAAACCCCGTGTCGGAGGCCCTGTAGACGAATCTTGCAACTGCTTCTATTCCGAACCAAGCGGGACTCAAAAGGACAGAGTCCCGCAAAGCCGGGACAGGCCGGGTCCACCGAGATCTTGTCAATAATGGATGCGGCACCCTCCCTGCTATGTTAAACTTGAAAGAAACCATAAAACGGCAAAACTCTTCGTAACGCTGTCGGGAAAAGACCAACGCCCACAACGAGCCTAATTACGCCATGTTTTCTGGACCCCAAACAGGTCCATCCGCCCCTGCCCGTTTGCACCTTGTAGATGACGAAGGTCGTCCCGGCCTCTGGTTCGATACCCACGCCCCCGGCCTGCGACGCTAGGAAGGCAGCGGACGCAGCACCTGCCACACTGGTACTCCTATCCGTGACCATCCTTAACCCTGATCCTCATGATTCCTTATGTTGTCTGGAGTGCATGGACAGCCACAAACCTAGCCTTCGGCGGACGAGTCGAGGAGGACTTGCCAGAGCTGGCAGTCGTCATCAGAACCAGCGCAATAGAAGCCTGGGTCCCTCCAAGTGATAGCTACCCGCATAAGAAGAATGACTTGATTGAAGCCATACACACAAAACCAAAAATGATGTGCTCCAAAGCCCAGGTGCCAAAGCGCACGCCATCGTCTGTCTGTTTGGTCTTCAAGGCCAAGCTTTGAATAGTTTGGGATACCGGCGTGACGTGCACAGTGCCCTCAGTGTCCTTGACCTGCAATGCCTTTGAAAAAGCATCCCGGCTCGGCAGCACCACATCATGACGGACCTGGAGTACACCCCCTTTGGCCATGCCAAAGATGTACCCAAGCGCGCCATTGCACTGCTTGACGACATCGGCAACAGACGGGGTTCGTGTGTTGGAAGTGGACGTGTTCCAGGAGAAGCATGGGACAGCAAGCGAGCTTTTAGGGGAGCTGGGAGAACTGGAGCCGACACAATCGCAGCACCGAGCCGCGTCCTCCTTGCTGCAAGTGGGGCCCGCGCACAGATAGGACTCGATCCAAGGCTTTGGCATGCAGTTTGTTGGGCAGGCATAGCCGGTACAGGAGGATGAACCCTCGAGGACAGGCACAGCTGCTCGCACGCTGGTCCCCACTTTCGGGTTGTGCATGACGGGATGCTCCAAATCCCTGCTTTGCTTGGGGAGGATCGTGTGCCTGAAGCCGCTGGGGCGCCTGAACTTCTGAAAGGCTTCTTCCTTCCGGTTGCACAACCTCGGCTGGGCACACTCTGAACAGGATAACCGCTCCGCACGGAGTCGACTTTGCCGTGTTTGGGGCCGAGCTCTTCCTGCACCCACGTCTACGTCTGTCGAAAGCTGGCCTAGGAAGCGTCGCTTGCGCTTGAAACTAGTTGTCCGTAGATGTCGATTCTGCCTGGTCAGCTGGTCTCTGGCACCTACAGTTACTACAGTTCAACCTGCAGTCCCGTTGGACTCGAGCTTGGTGAGCAATCGCATCAACTCTTGGTTCCATCCGACAATTCTCTCAGGGCGCATGCACAGTGCGTGGCACAGTGGCCCGAAACAATCACAGCCGGGGCTTGGCAAAAGGTACCCAAACAAATGCAAAATTAGACCAAATACTATACTTCTGCCCGGGTCCTAACTGCCAAGCAACACCTCAACGTGGCAGTTGGCGGCGCAGCCGTCGCCAGGCTCCATGTTTCCATCGTCACAGCGCTCCTGGCCTGCCAAGATTCCATCGCCGCAGGTTGTGGTACAGGGCTTCGCCTGAAAAGAGCAGAGCCATGCCTTCTTTTGCCTAAGACTAACTCGTAAAATTTGTTGAGATGCCCTGCCAGTTGGCGCGACACCACCCCCCACCACAGAGTCATGTTGCGTTTGTTGATTTTGTTAGGGAAAGCTAGGCGCACTCAATTCGCCTCGGCTTGTTGCCCAGAAGCGTTTGGAGCAAGCAGACCTGGATCAGGCCTCCCAGCGTCCCGACGCCTCAAAACACACCAAAACACCCAACCCCCCCTCCCCCCACCCCCAACACCCTTCCAGAAAAACCCTCCTCCCCTTTGTTTTGCGGAAGCCCTCTTTCCTCCTTTCCTGTCCTGAGGCCGGCCCGGCTGCCGAGGCGGCGCGCAAGCGTTTACAATTAAGAAACTCGAGCCCGGAAACCCTCAGAACACAATGAGACTCAAATTGCTTCAGCCTGAAAAGATGCAGAAATCATGTTTGGATCCGTGACTGCGAAAGTGAAGCTGATCAGAAAGAGCTGTGGACTTGTTGCTGCAAGAGTCAGGCCGAGGAAAGCCCGAGAAAAGAGGCTGAAGAAAGAACAAATCACCTGCACATGATGTAAAAATATGCTGCTTCTCTCAGTGCAAAACAATATCTTAGTGAAGTTGTTCTGTGCCAGGCCCAACAACGAAACAGGTGCATCATCGGATGATGCACGGGACCCCTCTGCACTCACGGGTTCCGATTGATCGGAAGCGCCGGGTGACACAGGCTCCATGACTTAAGGAGTGGAAGATACGAACATTCGCGAACCGTCTGCAACGTGTAGCACATCAATGTTGAGAAGAGTTTATTCGAGTCCTGTCGAGAAGCCTGGCTGAGTCATCGGACACCAGAGGACAAAACTCGTAAGGAGATACTGAGATACCTTTGAAAGCTACTTGTCCGGAACACCAGTTTAAAGCTTAGGATTGTGTTTTCCTTTTGTGTCGTTTCTGCATTCGTGTTTCACAATGAATGCCAGTATTCTACTCCATCTACGGTGGTCAGACACGTCTTTTGCTGTGGATCGAGAGTGGAGAGGTCGCACCAAGTCGTCGGTCAGTTCGAACCAGTTTAGAACCGACTGGTTCAGCCATCATGTCATATGCCTGAGCAATCTTGGGAGCTATGGCCATGTCGACTGCTCCAATGGAACTTCCCTTCGGTGAGTCATGGTGTGAAGCATGTCTTGCGGCCCTTCTTCCATGAAACATGGTGGGCGCTCTTGTCCTCTAGTCTTGCTCCTGTCGATTCAGTATGGACACAGCCCGACGAGGCAACGCAAACGTCACCAGAAAACTGGTGGCAGCCCCCTTGGATCTAAAGCTGCCCAAGAACGCGTTGATTGTTTCCTCGCGCTAGGTGTCTAAAACCACTGTGAGCATAGCAGCGGAGTGTTGTAAAGCACACGTTCTCGCCCTGTTAAAAAAATAAGGCCTCTTCACAGGTGAAGCCGGGCTCAATGGTTCGACAGTCTGAGCGGCAACCGTCGCCACTGACTTGGTTGCCATCGTCGCAGGCTTCCCACGGATCCACACGCCCATCCCCGCAGAACTTCCTTGGCATCGCTGCACTAGATGCAGAACGGGAAATTGCATGCACCTCCGTGCGCGTGCTTGCACAAGACTAAGGAAAGGGGTACCCTCATCTTTGGACGGAACCCTTGAAGCGAACCCTCGGAGCCCTCAAAACCCGAAAACCCTAAGAGCCCTAAGAGCCCGGAAGGGCAACTGCTGCTCGAGGCTCTCTGCTTGGAGTCCTTGGAGACGTCTGTTCCACTTGTGAAGCTTGGGCAAGAAAATTGCCTCTCGGCGATTAAGGCTTTAAGGGATTTGAGGCTTAGGGTTTTGGGGAGTCTTGGGGTTATGGTTTTAGGTTGCTACAGCCTAGGGCCTAGGATCAAACCCCCAAACAGTGAAGCAATAAAAGTGGGCCCTGCCATGTACTCAAACCAGCCGGCCTTGCGCAAGGGCGACCACAAGTCCAAGGGTGTATCGGAGGCCTGAGAGCAGACCTGCAACAAGTTCTGCATCGGATATGTAAAGTCCGTGAGGACAACATCGCAGAACTGTCAAACAGACGCGCGGCTCAGTCGACTAATGTCTTCGGTTTACGAACCTCCATCTTGTGTCGGCATTTCTTGCTCACAGTGCCGTCCGAGCTGATGGAGGCCGCGCAGAAGCAAAAGGCACGATCCGGCAATTTCTTGGCGGCCGGGTCTGATGGGAGGACGACCTTGCAGAATCTACCCATTCTGGGGCTTTCGGTGTTTAGGCGACCCACCAAAGTTTCAGGAGTTGAGCTTTGGGAACCAAAGCCCTAAAGCACGAACATCGAAGGCCAAAATCATGCAAGCAGACGCGCAACTTGGCCCAGCGGATGCTCTGAGGCTATTTCCGGTTTTTCAGGATTCAAACCCCGAAGACCCACATTGGAGGTTGAATCACCACAAGAGGTTTTCAAAACAAGCAGAATGGGATTGAGATTCAGCTACAAAGGCGCGATAAGGACTACCTATGGACCAACGCACAAACTTCATGACCGTAAATTCGGAACTTGTATGAGTCGAAAACAAAAGCAATTGACTTGTGCAGGACTTGCCAAGGGTTGATAATGTGAAGCGGCTAGAAACATACTTCATCAGGATACCAAACGAGGTCATACCAGACGGCTAATTTTTTCAACAGGATAGTGGGAAGTTCACAAGGAAGCAACCACACTTGGAAACCGATGTCATAACATTTCAAAGCCCGAAACCGTTAAACCGCAAACTTTAAGACCCTTAGACACTTCAACCTTTCAGCCCTGGAGCCACCGAGCAGGGACCTAACCGACAAGCTACACAGGCCCAAAGTGGAATGCTTCTGAACAAGGGATCCTTTTGTTGGAGTTGCAGCAAATGAACGTGCCATCTTGGTATCAGCACACAAACAAACCAACTTGCCTTGCCTTGCCTTTGCTTTTACTTGTGTGTCGCCACCCATTCCAGAAAGACCCTAAACACAATACCCAAAACCCAATGCCGGCCTCGTAGGAAGCTGCTCCCTTGTCGAGCTTACAGCCCAGGACTTGGTTTGGCAGGCCGCCATCTACGTCCTCCAGCTGCTGCTATGCTGTGGGTTGTAACTTCGGCTCCTACTGGCACGTGGAGCGTGTTAGCATAGCGAGGACGCAATGCAAGTGACGTTTTCTGTTACCAGTTAACGAAAGTCCTCAAGAACCCAGGTAGGCATGTCCGTGCTTACGCTCAGTTACTTGGGTTCTTGGGGTCTCCAGGGATGGTTCCTAAGCGACAGACAGTTCTTAGACAAAGAATGAGACAAGCTTTCACATGGTATCAAAAAGAGCTACTGGGCCAGCGGAAACACACAAAAGCAGGCTCGCATTCGTGATCAATATGAGGGCTCACTCTCACTCCCACTTCAGTTTCACTCTCAAGTCATCCGGTCGAACACACTCACACACACTCACCCGCCCACCCACCCACTCACTCACTCGATCACAAACACTCTCTCTCTTTTTTTGTTGCTTTTTTTTCTCGCTCTCTCTCTCTCTCCACACGCTTGGCCCCTCCAGAGGAGAGCCGCCCCGTAGGGCGCGCACGTCCCATGTCCAGACGGTGTTGTCACAAACACTCCCTCTCCCTCTCTCTCTCTATCTATCTGTCTATGTTTCTTGATTTTGGGGCTAAGGGGAGACCCCCGCGCCTAGACGCGCCCTGATCCCGCGTCTCGCAGCAGCACTACTACCCGCTGTGGCCGGTCTTCGGCCACGCTGCAGCGTCGAGGCCTTTCTCGGTCCCTTATCGGACGTATCGGTCGCCCCTTCAACCCTTCCCCCCAAAACGCCACAAACGTCACCTCAACATCGCCAAAGTCAACCTCCCCAGCCGCCCTTTTTTTTCTCAATCCTCACAAGTAACCCTTTCCTACCCTCCAACCCTCCCCACTGTCGCGAACCAGATGCAAGTCAACCTCCTTGCGTACCCAATCCTTTCCTATCCTCCAATAACCTGCCCGCTTTGTTGCACGAACCTCCCTAGGTCAACCTCCCGCGCCCCCACAATGTTCTGCCCCCCTTGACCTTGGGCTGTCAGTTTAAGGCTCTATGCCAAGCAGCTGTTGGCCGCCCCGGTTTTAGTTCACTGCTATCCCCTCTTGGCTCACAACGTCAGACCAGGGCCCGCCCGGGGCGGCTCGCAGGTTTTCGCTTGACCCCTTTGTGGCCTTCCCGCCAGACCCTGTTTACATCTCCACACAATTAGTTTCTTGTTTCTTTTATTCTTATCATTTTTTTTCTGTCTCTCTCTCTCTCACACCGTCCCTCTTTTTCTGGAGGCCTCCTACCGTGCCCGGGCTCCACAGTGCCTTTCCAGACGAAAACGAGGCGTTCATGGAGGATGCCCCCTTTCAAGAAAACGCATTCTCGGTGCCCGTTCTGTCAAAGGACCTTTAAAACGACACTCCACGTGTTGGGGCCCGGGGTTTGGGTTGCTCATACCTTGGCGGAAGAGACGAGACGAGATTTGCTTTGGAGGCAGGATGCACAAGAGTGAAGCTTCAACCAGTATGATGCATTGCGGAGCACTACAAAGGGCAATTGTCCTTGAGGTTCAAAGGGATGGGCTTCCGGACATCGATCTCCCAGCCCGAATGGGTCCCATCGGCAAGCAGCAGTCCCTGTCATGTGACACCGTCACGATAAGACAATTACAGTAAGAATCACGAAACATTGATTTACGATAAAGAACGTGGTTTAGTTTATCCAGTCATAATTTGAGTATGTGTAAACAATTCGTGGTGTGAAGCACAGAAGACGGAGAATCGCTGTCAGAATGGTATCAATACTTGGCACCATACGGATCAGACTTCGGAACTCAGAACCAGCAAGCTGCCGCCACTAAGCGCACCCAGAGGTTTTGGGGTGTAGGGCTTTGCCAAGTTTGCACCTCGGGGTGCTGAAGAACCATCAGCAGCTCTCCACCTCCAGGAAGCTGGACGCGGTCCCAGGCCACCTGGGCGCGTTGGTTCGCGGGTTTATTGCTTTAGACGTACGGCTTTCAAATTATGTCGAAGCGGAAGGCGGAAGCTTTGGGCAATTTGGTGAGTGGCCGATTCAGTGCAGTGATGCAAACGTGTTTTGTTCTGTCTCCAGCCATTTGGTGGAAACGAGCTGTAGGGATGTTGTTAAAACTTGGTTTCGCTAGTGGCTGCTTACCTGTATGCGCAAAATACTTCCCAAGCAACGAACGCTTCGTCAAGCCTTTGGGGCAATTGCGCAACTTTCTGGAGGCGAATCCATCCCCTCCCTCAGAACACAAGAGCAAAGAACGAAGGAAGACGACGGGAGGTCGCCTTTGCGACATTAGGGCTCGGCTGTTTTGACTGACTGCTTGGAACAAGAAGGGGTTGATTTCGGTCGGGGGGCGTAAAAACTAAACCACGAGAGTATGTATTGGGCCCTATGACAGGACGCATGTCCGGGTCAAGGCCAAGCCAAGCCACCAGGGAGGTGGTGGAGGTGCCCGGGAGTTTCTGCAGCAGGGCGGAGATGCAGCCTGTAGAGCTAGACATTTGGAGGTTAGGCTTTCAATATATACATATACATATATATATATATATACATGGTAACCCCCCCTCCCGCCCCGGTACCTAGGTCTCCTTTTGTTCCCGGCCTCAGATAAGTTGCCTCTTGGAGGGTTTAGGGTTTCGGCCTAGGCTTCATTGCCAGATGCCATGATGTTCCTTTGAGTGAAAGTGCTGTACTGTCCCTAAAAAACCAATCCCAGAAGCCGAAAATGCCGTACTGTCCCTAAAAAACCTAAAAAAACCAATTCTGGCGGCCCATACAGCCAGGCCCGGTTTTTTAGGGACAGTACAGCACTTTGAAGGCCTGAGGTGCTGAAAGTGCTGTACTGTCCCTAAAAAACCTATCCCAGAAGCCGAAAAATGCCGTATTGTCCCTACAAAAACCTAAACAACCAATTCTGGAGGCCTGTGCAGACAGGCCCTCTTCCAAAGATTGGTTTTTTAGGGACAGTGCAGCACTTTGAAGGCCTGGGGTGCTGAAAGTGCTGTACTGTCCCTAAAAATTCCAATCCCAGAAGCCGAAAATGCTGTACTGTCCCTAAAAAACCTAAAAAACCAATTCTGGTGGTCTATACAGACACGCCCTCTTCCAAAGATGGGTTAAGTATTTACGAAATAAAGGATGGTAATTTAGCTAGTTCAATGTAGTAAAATCACCCTTGTCGCGCTTTCGCCCATGTGCATCGCAGCATCATCCACTCGATGGTCCTTGTAAAATTCTTCCGGCACGTGTTCGTTAATGCGATGCAGAAAGCTAACTTTTGCAGTAAAACCTAGGCGCCGGGGGGGGGGGGGTAGCATATACATATATGTGCTTATATATATATATGTATATGTATATTTTTTGGGTACTATATATATATATACATCAACACACACACACATGCATTGATCTAAACTCGGAACTTTCGCGGGACTTTCGCAGACACATGTTTATGCATAGACAAAAAACATGTGTATATGTACACACATAGATACATGGTAGTTTATCAAGGTCTGAACATGCAGCAAACAGCCAAAATACCCAAACATCCCCCAAGAGCCGGCAAGTGAGTGTATTGCGCGCTTGCGCTCCCGTGCGCGCAGGCGCGCGGGCGCGCGGACAAGCGCACGTGCGTGCGTGGCTGCGTGGCTGCGTGGCTGCCTGGGTGCGTGGGTGCGTGGGGAGCGTGTGTGTGCGTGTGTGCGCGTGCGTGGGTGCGAGCGTGCGTGCGTGCGTGTGTGCTTGTGTGCGTGAGAGCTCGTGTGTGTGTGTGTGTGTGTGTGTGTGTGTGTGTGTGTGTGTGTGTGTGTGTGTGTGTGTGTGTGTGTGTGTGTGTGTGTGTGTGTGTGTGTGTGGTGTGTGTGTGTGTGTGTGTGGTGTGTGTGTGTGTGTGTGTGTGTGTGTGTGTGTGTGTGTGTGTGTGTGTGTGTGTGTGTGGTGTGTGTGTGTGTGTGTGTGTGTGTGTGTGTGTGGTGTGTGTGTGTGGTGTGTGTGTGTGTGTGTGTGTGTGTGTGTGTGTGTGTGTGTGTGTGTGTGTGTGTGTGTGTGTGTGTGTGTGTGTGTGTGTGTGTGTGTGGGTGTGTGTGTGTGTGTGTGTGTGTGTGTGGGTGTGTGTGGTGTGTGTGTGTGTGTGTGTGTGTGTGTGTGTGTGTGTGTGTGTGTGTGTGTGTGTGTGTGTGGTGTGTGTGTGTGTGTGGGTGTGTGTGTGTGGGTGCGTGGGTGGGTGGGTGGGTGGGTGGGTGCGTGCGTGCGTGCGTGCGTGGGTGGGTGGGTGGGTGGGTGTGTGTGTGTGTGTGTGTGTGTGTGTGCGCGTGCGTGCGTGCGTGCGTGGGTGTGTGTGTATCTATGTATGTATGTATGTATATAGGTCGGCAGGTAGGTAGGTAGGTAGGCGCGTGCGCGCGCGCCTACGGCCGCGTGGTGCGCGTGGTGCGAGTGGTGCGCGTGGTGCGCGTGGTGCGCGTGGTGCGCCTCGTGCGCGTGCGCATGCGCGTCGTGCACGTTGTGCGCATGCGCGTGCGTTTGCGCGTGCGTGTACGTGCGTGTGCGTGTGCGTGGTTGTATGCATGTATTCATCATGTATTCATTACCATAAATACAATATGTGTGCATGTATATATATATATACGTACAGGGTATATTATATACAACTGTGTGATAGATAGCAAACTTTTTAAACAAGCACCCAGAATGCCCCAACTGCCGCCAAGTGGCTGGAAGGAACGGGGCAAAGTTCCGGCAGGTTTTGCTTCAGTAGCTTGCGGTGCAGAACCTCTGTGGGTCTCAAGGCTTTCCCAAGGTTTTCGTACAGTTGCTTGGCTGAGCACAAGTGCAATTGCTGTCTGTCCAGAGACCAAGCAACAAGGAGCTGGTGAGAGGTGTCCTGGCAACCGGCTTCCACGATTCGGAGGCACCATGTCATGCGCCGCTTTGCTTCGGGGATTGGGTTCAGAAAAATCGGGGCTACAAATCCAAACCTAAAAATTCCAAACTCCGACATGATGTCCTTGCGTGGCAGCTCGAAGCTTTGCAAAACTGTGGTGAATTCCCCCACGATGCCTGCGATTCCGCAGACTTGCAGCTGGCACCGGTGTAGAGATCGGGAGAATTTCGAAAGTCGCAATCCCCGGAATGGGGTATCCATAAAACTCCATGAAAATTATCAGGAGTCTCAGAAGACACCTTCGTGACCCCCTAAACCCTGAATCTCGAAGTCCACATCATCTCGACTGTTCTCTTTGACAAGATGCCGGCCCAGGCTTGCGCTATCATCTCCGACGCCTCGGGCCCTGAGGTTTTGGCTTCGTCTACGGCCCTGACTGCTTTGGCTTTGAGAGGCACTGCACCGTTCAGAACCGTTCATACGCCATGGTACACACCACAAACGGTGACGGAACAACACAAAACGAAAAAAACACATCTGCTCTCACTGCTACACCACACCAACCACCTGATGACCCGGAGTTGAAGCCTCAACCATTGTATTCCCCGTACTTTTGTCCCGCCTTGGCCGAGGTGTGCGGCTGTCGGGTTGCTGTTCCGCACAATCATTTGCACCCAATTCAGCAAATCCCTGGTTCGCTCAATCTGCGAGGAGAGGGACCTGAAAGGTGTGCTGGCCTTTGATTAACATGGGTCGCTCTCCTACAGGGCCCCTACACCTGGGTGTGGCATGTCGACAAGAGGGCTTTCAGAACACCCGGCAAGAAAGTCTCCGTGGCAGAGTCTTGGAGGAGGTTCTGCATGAGCATCATGGAGTCTGGTGACAGGTACTGACGGCAAAGCGATGCATCCTGACGCAAGCTTTGGGAGAAGTGTCGTATGTCGACTTCGGGTCATCAGGGGTGTTTTGCCGTTTCTGGTTTCTTCTGGGGCTTCCAGCCCAGGTTAATCTTCTGAAAAAAAAAGTTGGGGCTTCTGCAGAGGGTCGCCGAGAGACGAGCCTGGCATCCTACACCCTGTTCTGAACACTGTGACGCAACCAACTTGTAGGGTTTAGAGTAGTCGCCCGTGTTCTCATTGAACAACCGAGATTGCATCGTTTTGCCACGACAAATTTACCGCCATAAAGGGCCTGTCATGTCTCACATCATGGCACACCCCTGGCCTCGCCCTTTGTGACTGAGGCATTGATCATCTGGTGCGGCTGGATGGCGATCACAGCCTTTCCAGGGCATAGAGAGCGGGGTCAAGGTTTTGAGAGGGTTGTCCGCCTTTGTGCAGCCCGCAACACAGAGGTCTGCACGTCCCTGCGACAAGCATCATCTTTGGCTTTGCGCATAATACCAAGAAAACACAATACTAACAAGTCACCATACAATATAGAAGCGCTGAGAAAAGGGGTCGAACTTTACTTGTGTATGATACTACTTGTCATGTACGAGCACGGCTTTTCGAGTTTGATCTGCAACTGACTGGCCTCCGGTCTACTGCAAGCCCTTGCGCCGCGCCTTCTCAACAAAGCGGCGGAGCAAACGACTCTCTCCGAGAATCCTGGTGTGAATCAATGTACGCCGTTACAAATTACGGTCGCCTCTGGGTAGGGTTTAGGGTTTAGGGTTTAGGGTTTAGGGTTTAGGGTTTAGGGTTTAGGGTTTAGGGTTTAGGGTTTAGGGTTTAGGGTCTAGGGTCTAGGGTCTAGGGTTTAGGGTTTAGGGTTTAGGGTTTAGGGCTTAGGGTTCTGGGCAGATACAGCACGCGAGCAAGGATCACGAACATCAAAACAGGATCAGAAAGCAACTAAGGCAGAATCAGAAACCAAGAAGGGGAGGGCGCGGCAGCAAGAAGCAAGGCCATGCAGAATGCTGAAAAGTGTCTAGGGGTGAAATGCGCATGTGCTTTGATTCTCTCCTTGTGGCTTTCTGATTCGTCTGTCCAGGTTTTCAAAGCCATGCTTTCTGTCGGTGTCTGGATAGAGAGCGATTCCGCTCTTGCTTTTGTGTGAGGGTTTGGGGTGAAGGCCTTTGGGGGGTCAGGGTAGAGTGTCTCAGAGAGTAGACGAGATGGGTAACACCTTCCGAAACATCTCCGACTTCCAAGAAACTCCAACGGGGGAAGCCGTGATTTTCTGTGCCCTCAACCCCCCTTGTCTCCGGTCCTGGAGAGGAGCGCAAAGGCATCTCTTGCCTGCGTCTGTAACTCGAGGAGATGCACTGGGTTGCTCACCTGAGAAGTGCGGCTTCAAGGCTGAATACACACGGATCAGGGTTTAGGGAGGCTGCCCTTACTAGCGCTCTTTGCTGTTTTGGGGGCTGGCAAAGGTGAAGCTGAAGCTGAAATGCAAGCAGGTTCCTTTAAACAGCTAGGCCCGAACTCCTGATTGATCATCAAACAATCACTGACAAGTCAAAGACAAGCCTCAACCCTCAACCCAAAAGTTTTCTTGAACACATTCCTTCGACCAGAGCAGCCATGGCCCGAGTGTTGTTGAAGAGCTCCCGCCGGCTTGTCACCTCTAGGGGAGTCCGAAGTAAACCTTATGGTCGTTTAGGAAGACTCAGGGCTTAAGGTTTAAGGTTCAAGGATTTAAGGTCTAAGATTTATGGTTTAGGGTTAAACGGTTAGGGTTTTAAGATTTAGGGTTGAGTGCAGTGCAGTCGCTTGGGATTGGCCTCTCATTCGGAATCCTTATGAACCTTTCAATGCCTCCTTCAAAACCGGCCCATAGTTCAGACCCCTTCACGGACCTGGACTGAGGCTTGGGGATTAGGGTAGTAGGTTTTAGGGCTTAGGGTTGTTGATGTTTCAGGCGGTCTCCCCAGGTTGATGCCGGCTTTTCCCACCTCCGTGTACGGAACCTTGCACTGCCCGTAGTCCGCGACGGCTCGGGCGTAGCTGATGCGTGCTGCCTTGCAAATTGGACTCAAAAAATGAGGGGGGTGCGGGGGAAACTTGGACTCCCGCGTGCACTTTTGGGGCCTCGGACTGCTGCACCAGGTCGAAGGCGCTTACGAAGGCCGCCTGGCAAGAAGTGACTTGAGGGCTCGGAAGGTGCCTAAGTTCGCGTCTGGGAGTTTCGGCTAAAGGGTAGCCTCAGCTCGTGCCTGCGTAGGGCAAAGAAACGAAACTATGCCGAGCAACCCTAACCCTGAACCCTACCTTCACATGGAGCATAGCCGAGCTGAGCATCATTTCAACGTTCTCCAACTGGTGCTCCTTGCGCTGCACACACGCACACGGGGTGTTTTCGGGGCTCTCTCGTGTGAACATATGTATATATATATAGATATAAAAATATAGATATGGATACATACATACATACATACATACATACATACATACATACATGCTTACATACACACATACATAAATGTCCGCGTATGTTTATGTACATGTACATGTAAATGTATATGTATAATGTACGATAATATAATCTACATATCTTTGTTTCTTGCTACCTGTCTATCTACCTATCTATTTGCCTTGCTATATCTATATCTACATATATCTGTCCCTCTATCGATCCATCCATCTAGATACCTAGCTATCTGGCTACCTACCTGTATGCATGCATACATACAGGTATACATTTCATTTATACATACATACATCCATCCATACATACTTTCATTCAGTCATTCATTTATTGATTTGTATATATGTGTATATGCATACATATATGTATATATATATATATGTATCTTTATAGAGAGAGAGGGATGTATATATATATATATATATGCTCACCCCCCCCCCCCCCCCCCCTTCGACAGACCCCGGAAGCGCAAAAAAGGCAAAAAGGCTGAGGGCGCGACAGACAGCATAGCTGCACACAGTAGCCAAACACGCTAACAAACAAGATATTTTTATGCATATACATTTTTTTGACTAATATAATCGGAATCTTATTAAGTGAAGAGGAAACCCTTTAAAATGAATGAGACCCTTAATACTATTAAATTCAACGGAAACCCTATGCAAATGACAGAACCCTATTTAAAGTTGATAGGAATCATATTCCATTTGTAGGAGCCTTATTAAAAATAGGCAAACTATGAAAATTTATTGGAATCTTACAAAATGAATACGAACCCAATGAACATGAGTAAGAGCTCTGAAATTGACATGAATCTTATTGCATTAGAAGGAGCCTTATCAAAATAATTAGGAACCATATGAAACTTTACTGGAATCCTATGAAAATAAGTAGGAATCTTTCGGAATCCTGCCGAAATTTATCGGATAAGCGAATAGGAAGCCTATTAAAATGAACAGGAACCCTTAACAAATCAAAAGAACGCGGTTAAGATTAAGAGGAACTAATAGGACTCCTATGAAAAATAAGATTCGCAAAAACAAGAATTAATAGGAACCCTACTAAATGAATATGAGCCCAAACCAATAGGAAGTCCTTTCAAACGAATTCCTTTCAAACGAATGAGACCTCTATTAACATTAATACGAATGCCATTAACATGAATAAGAACCCGAAAATTGATGGGAATCTTATTACATTTGTAGGAGCCTGCCTTATTAGAATAATTAGGAACCCTATGAAACTTTATTGGAATCCTATGAAAATAAATAGGAATCCTCTATTGAATTCATAGGAATGCTATCAAAAAAATTTCGGAACCGATACAAGTAAATAGGAAGCCTATGAAAATGAATAGGAACCCTCAACGAATTGAAAAGAACCGGTTATAATTCGTAGGAGTCCTGTTAACATGAGAAGAAATCAGAGTAAAATCCCTAAACCCCAAACCGTGTAGAACCCCAGAAAAAAATCTTACCAAAACCCCAGTTTCCAAAATTCCAAAAACCCCAAAAACCCCAAAAACCCAACCCAAGCTTCGGATCTTTGGAAACTCGAGCGGGAGCCTCAAAATCCAAAAACCGAGCTCCCGCTCGAGTTTCCGAGAATCCAAAATTCCAAAAATTCCAACCCAAGTTTCGGATTTTTGGAAACTCGAGCGGGAGCCTCAAAATCCAAAAAACCCAAAACTCCTCGAGTTTCCAAAAATCCAAAGGTCCCAAAAATCCACCCCAAGGTTTGGGTTTTTGGAAACTCGAGCGAGAGGACGAATTTTAGATTTTGAGGCTCCCGCTCGAGTTTCCAAAAATCCGAAACTTGGGTTGGAATTTTTGGATTTTTGGAAACTCGAGGAATTTTGGATTCCAAAAACCCCACCCCAAGGTTTGGATTTTTGGAAACTCGAGCGGGAGCCTCAAAATCCAAGAATCGAGCTCCCGCTCGAGTTTCCGAAAAACCAAAATCCAAAAAACCCACCCCAAGGTTTGGATTTTTGGAAACTCGAGCGGGAGCACGAATTTTGGATTTTGAGGCTCCCGCTCGGGTTTCCAAAAATCCGAAACTTGGGTCGGAATTTTTGGATTTTGGATTTTTGGAAACTCGAGGAATTTTGGATTTTTGGATTTGAGGCTCCCGCTCGAGTTTCCAAAATCCGAAACTTGGGTTGGAATTTTTGGAATTTTGGATTTTTGGAAACTCGAGGAATTTTGGGTTTTTGGATTTTGAGGCTCCCGCTCGAGTTTCCAAAAATCCGAAACTTGGGTTGGAATTTTTGGATTTTGGGATTTTTGGAAACTCGAGGAATTTAAGAGTGTTGGTCTTCCACCCCCTTCCTGGACAGACTGGAAATACAATTCCGGGGTCTGTCGTAGGGGGGGGGGATGACCATATATATATATATACAGAGGACATGAAGAAATCAACGACTTTTGAAGTTGAAAGGCTGAGATACAAGAGGGCAGCAGAGCACAGAAGCAGGGAAGTTACAAACGAGCTTCTCATGCTTGCAGAGACAGCGTGGAAATGGTGATTCTTTCCGTCGCTGTCTTATCCTTTCTTTCTCAGCAGGCTTTCCTTTTTCAAGGGGGCATGCGGAGGAGAGAAGAGTTGCAAGGAGGAAAGACTTTCAAAGCGGATGCCTTGAGCCAAGACTTTCTGCTCAGCTTTCCTTTTGCTCACGTGCAGAAACTGCTATATTTCAGCGTTTGCTAAACGGGCTGTCGCGTGTTGTGGCTCTGAACTTCCACAGAGATAAGAGCTGAGTTCTGTTCAGGGCCAGAGTTGTGTATGCTCAAGAAGGATCTACCATCGGTGGTCAAGTATTGCCCGGCCACGAGTTCCTCAACACTAGACTAAGTTGCAGTTGCGGACTCAGTATAGGGGACCAGGATCATGGAACAAAAGCCCGATGATGGGAACCTTCCAGCAAAGGCTCGCGCAGGGTTCGTGCCTTGGTGTGGAAACTGGGGTACGTCTTCCACGGCTATTGCAGAATTACTGTGGCAACAGCAGCACTAAGCCCGAAAAAAGCCCAAAAACCCTGAACAACCCTGACAACCAAGACTCGACAACCTACCAGAAACCCTACACCAGAAACCCCGAAGCACTTGAGGTCCTCGGCCAACTCTACCGAGCCGTCTACTGCTTCCCGGAGCTCGTCCATACGCATGGCGTTCCCAACAAGAAGGTTCCTTGTCGGGCTTGAGCTTTGCGGTTTGGGGTTCTCTGACAGGGAAGTTCCTTGCTTAACTGAAGTGCTTAGGGTTTTGAGGTTGGATGTGGTTCCCGCCACAGCGGCGGTGCGCATTTTGGGCACGCATGGTCTTCGCAGTACCGTGATGTACCGTGCACATTTTCGATCCGTGTTGGGGTGCCAATCGAGCTCCACCCCAGAGTTTAGGGGTTTAGGGGTACATTTTAGTACATGCTTTTTGACATCGTCCAGAGAGGAGGTCCCGAAGAGAAGCCCAAGGGTCGTCATGATCGCTTGCTGGTTTCGGACCGCCGTCATCTCCGCATCGAAAGCGGCCTCGAAGCCCTTGATGCGGTTTTGGACGCTGGCAAGCCCATCCTGCATGTCGATGTTGTGTAGTTCGATATTGCATTTATTTCATACTCCCTCCAAATTAGCCTTGAGCAATGCCCCCTTCGAGTCCTGCATCTCATCGACGATGCGGTCCGAGCTGGCTTTCACCTTGCCCGGTTCCCCAAACCGCCCTGAAGCTGGTGCGCAAGCGTCAGGACTAGGTCGTGCATGTTCCGCATTTCTACTCATACGGGTCTCATGCATCAAAGCTTGGGTTTTTGCCCAGGTGCCAGATTCTTGACATCTCTTAGGTCGGTCTTTAGCTCGTCCTTGGTCTGCTTGATCTGAGCCGTGACATTGTTGAGGCCGGCCTTTAGCTCCTTCTCTGTCCCTTTGATCTGAGCCTTGACATCTTTCAGGTCGGCCTTCAGCTCCTCCTTGCTCTGTTTGATCTGAGCATTGACGTCCTCCAGCCCCGCCTTCAGCTCTTCCTTGGTCTGTTTGATCTGAGCCTCTGTCATGGATCCCAGGTTCTTGATCTGCGAGCTCACCTGATTCAGAAGAAATGAAGGACCCGCAGAGGGACTTCACATCAGGTCTTAGTAAATAGAACAATAGAACCCCCCCCAAAAAAAAGAAAAAAAGGGCCCTCAGCTTTCTGAAACCAAAACCATCCGCACGCCCCAAAAACGCAAACACGAAATAACTTCTTAAACAACACAACCTGATAGGAGCCACATACCAGAATACAGACACGCCTCACGTATGTCGCGAAGATTACACACGTCCGGCACAAATAACACATGGGCCATGGCGAAGGCAGCGAATGTCACGAGGATGGCGCGCATCTGGGGCCACACCCCCATGACAGTTGACGCGTGAAAAGGAAACGGCGATCCAACATCGATGACTGTCACGAGGATGGCATGCATCGGGGGCCGTATCCCCCGTCACAGTTGATGCTTTTGACAAACGAAACGGACACGAGACTGCAAAAACGACGGCTGTCACGAGGATGGGGGTGCATCGGAATCGGGGGCTACATTCGTGCGACAGTTGGCACCGATGTCCAAAAGCGATGACTGTCACGAAGACGGCGTGCATCAAATCGACTCGGACACGCTGCACCACCTATGATACAATATCATAGAGGTATAGTATAGTTTCGTCTAGGCTAGCGGCTAGTATATCAGAGTATAGTATTTTCCTAAACAACACATGGCCGACGAATTGAAACGTGCAAACGGCGCCATCTAGTGCAACCGACACGTACTTTGTCAGGAGAGGGTTGCTGAATCCGATAAATTAGCACCATACCACTCGCACAAATGCCAAAAAGAGGCGAGCAGCTATTCCTGCTAGCCTTGCCACGTGCTTTAAAGGATGTTTAATAAAGAGAAAGCCTCACGAAAAGGGCCATGCAAGCCCGGTACCATCCAACGTCATCACTTTCTACACGTCCAAGTACAGTAACACGGAGATAACATGCCAAACACCTCCACGAGAAAACCCCTTCGCAACGCTGTCGGGCCCTGTAAAACCCCACCTTGTCCATCTTGCCGTTCAGCTCCTTCCTGGCATCTTCGATTCCTTCCATGATCTCCGCTGTGTTCTTCTTGCCCTCCTCTGTGACCTGAGAAAAACTTCTAGGGGCTTCTTGAAAACTAGGGGGTTTCCATTGTTCGAAGTCTTTATACCAAGGATCCTTTCATCTAGGGTTCCACATTGGGTTCCCGATTTTCTGAATATGGCCACAGCTCTAGGACTCCAAAGGGTGCTGGTTTCAGAAACCATTCCATGTGCCGCCGGTGCGCCCTGGCTTCCATTTCTTGCATCTCGCCCACCAGCTCTGCTTCCATTTCTTGCATCTCGCCAACCAACTCCTTTTCCATGTTTTGCATCCCGCCCACCAGCGCCTTTTCCATGCCCTGCATCTCGTCCTTCAGTTCCTTTTCCATGTCTTGCATCTCGCCCACCAGCTCGGCTTCCATCTCCTGCAAAAAGCCCAACAAGAAGTTGAAACTGAGGCCCAAAGGCAGAGTTGGGCCGGGCCTGCATCCCACCTTTCAACTCTGCTGTCGAACGTTCAATGGCCTCAGACATGTGCTTCTTCATCTCCTTCCAGACGGAGGTCTCAGGCAAACATGAAGCAAGCCTGAAACCAAGCCTCGTGACAGTCTAGCCTTTGGGGCCATTGCTGCCCGTCACGATGCAAAGAACAAGTCCTCCTTGGAGTTCTGAATGTCGGCGCGCAGTTCCCTGAGGTACAGCTTGCTTGGTCACGAGCTGAGCAAGCACGCAAGCTGTTACAATCCGTCTCACAAGTAAGAAAAGAAGCAAAGAAAATCTAGAGCAATCAGTGCTGGAGGGGAATAAAGGTATGAAAACAAGCTCCCATGGAAAAAACCTATTTGGTTCAGGGTCTCGGCTGAGGAGTTCCTACGAACAACACAACTTTGAGAGAAGGCTATCAAAACTACAGTAAGGCGGACAAGCCAAAGCCAAGGAACTCCTCCATGCTGTCCATTTTGGCCATGGACTCCTCGTGCTTCTTATCCCTGTCTTCCTGCGGGTGACTGCAGAACTAGAGCCGGAGTAGCCCCAAGTACACATCCTAAAATCCAAGAGCACACTCTACGAGCTCTCGGAGCACCTCGGGACCCTTGCATAAAGAATTGCTTCGGCCCGTGTGCAAACTGCATGAGGTTCAGGGGTTGGGGAAACACCACAAGGTTCGTTGTCGTGGGAACGAATGGCGCCTCTCGCCTAGGTCTCGTGCTCGAGACAACACGTTGACTGGTGAAGACGAAGCACAGGCACCTACCTTCCTGCCTTTGGGCCTTTGGGATTCAGGGACCAGGCAAAGGCTCTCCTCGTGCAGTGCAACATGGGTTTCCGTTGCTCAAACCCTCCCTGAACCCAGGCACTCTACGGAGGCATTCTAAGATCCCAAACAAGAACCTCGGACAAATCCGCGCGGGCATCTCCTGACCAATAAACCCTAAACCCTAAACCCGCGTCGCCTGACCCATGTTGGCAATGAAGATGGCCATGTCCGTTGCCTTCTTGTCCTGCCAGGCAGATGTGGGGAGTCGCGGTCGAAGGCTCCAGACTTACAGCCGTGCCCGGACTTAGGGTTTATAGGGCTTAGGGCTTAAGGCTTGGCATTTTGAGGTTGCCTTGCTCCAAGTCATTAGTCTCACCCTTTCCAGTCCTGCATCGCCGTAACATCGCACATTTTTGCCGAAGAAATGCTGCAAATGGAGTTCGCCACGTCGTTGTACTGGTTCAGCGTTGATGACGATTTCACCGAACCCCACGTTATGCCAACGAACCCCTCTGAGGGCGACGAAGGTGCGCACGGTACGGAGCAAGTTGCGGAGTAAGCTTCGTAAGGCTTACATCCTTCCGTCCCAGGCACACCCAACTGTTTTAGCAGGCGGCAGAGGTGCTTTAAGATGTATAGCTTGCCGATCTTACTCTGCGTTGAGCTTTCGGTGGTCTGCGCTGCTCCCATGGCCTCAAAGGCCTCAGCTTCGTGTTGAAGCTTCTGAGAGGCGACGTAGAGGATCTCCTCAGTCGAGCTGTTGCACGCCTTTGTCTTGGCTTCAAGGCTGCTGAGTAAGCCATGAAGGTCGGCTTTGACGTCGAGCACCTTGCTGCTGTAGATGTCCTCAAAGAGTGTCAGCTTCTTGTTCAAAGCCTTCTCGCTCTGGTCTGCTTTCTCCTGAAGGTAACTCCTGTCTGCGTCCGAGTCCTGGAGGAGCCCGGAGATCCCGGCGCAACCGTCCCTTTGGAGCTTCTCCTGCAAGTTGCACTGGTCGAAGTCATACTGCCGAGTGTACGTGCATTGGTCCATGACAGGGTACTCCGACCCTTGCACTCCATCCCGCATCACAGAAACCAAGTGTTCATCCAAAAGGAACGGGCACATGGACTGCAGCATGTACTGCTGTTTCTCTGTCAGCTTTTCGAAGCTTTCATGGGTTTTCCCATAGAGGGGCCGCTTCAGGTAGCAGACCGAGTCGTCGGCTTGCGGCGCAGCATACGTTCCGCGGAGCAGCATGTGCAATGTGCACTCCTCTCCTTTGCAATGGATGAAATGGCAATGGGGCCTGAGTGGGGCAACGGAGCAAAGCGTGCGCAAACAGAACTTGAATCAAACTGTATAAATTGGTATATAACTCCGACAACATCGGAAGCGTTGTGCTGCCCAGGAGCAGGATACTGCACCGAGCCTTCGATGCTTGCACACCAGCTTTTACCTCGCTGGGTATAGCGAGTGAGTGTGTCACATCACACTTGCGTGCCATTGTCCAAGATGTCTTGACGCAAAGATTCTCGTAGGAGCACTCTGTGCGATCCTTGTCCACAGACTGCATCATCGCTACATAAAGGGAGTCCTTGGCCTCCTTTCGCAAGGACCTCATGGTGTTGTCTACATCGCCTCCGATACCTCCGAGCTGCTCATTGGCCTCCTTCGCGGACAGGTATAGGAGCTCATGAACTCCCTGCCACCGTAGTTGACAGTCATCCACCAAGTAGTCAACCTTGAACATATCAACGCCTTCACGTTTCTCCTTCCGATCTGTCAAGGCTTGATACTGCTTCTGTGCCTCCTCTGACATGGAGCCCAAGCCCTTCCTTAGCACTGAAATGATCCGACCACTTGCCATTTCTAGGGGCCCTTCCTGTCACAGTTCTGCTTTGCACGGTGCCATGCTATCAATTCCAAAGGGCCAAAAGGCTGGCGCCAGTGGGAAGCCAAGCTTAGCCAAGTTTCAGTTCCTTTAACTTCTCGGCCATTGAAACGGAAACCTGCTCAAGGCTGACCGCCTGCGCACGCTCGAAAGTCGTGGATTCTTTCTGGATGGTCGTCGTCTATGTGTACTCTTGCAAATCATAAGAGCTTCTTTGCCCACCGGACTGGCGTGCGATCTTTGGGCTCTTACAATGTTGGGAATGCTCATTTGTTGGGTCTAGTTTCATTTTCTCGTTGTGTCCGAGTCGCTGGGGGCTTCTTCGTGGTATTCAAGTCTTGGCATGTCCAATGTTGGAACTCACAGTTAAAGAACTTACAAGCCCGAAGGGATATTGGAGTGAGCGAATAACGTGCTGCAAGGCAGGATGAGGGACCCTCTATCCTGAAAGCCGCAATCTCAGAATTCACCAAACGATTAAAGTTCACGGCCTCGTATGACTACCGGTTTCGGTAGCAAATATTCTCTCCAAGGATTTGCTGAACACCTTGAACCCGCAGCCTGCCAACGCTGCACTTCCGCCCAGGCTCGGTGCACCACCTCCTGAATCACACCTGTTGAGGGTACAGCGGACAACAGGGGATTTGGGGCTTGTGTTGCTGCTGATGCTCGGCTTATGTCAATGGCATCGCGAAAGAGATCTGTGATGAGACTGATAAGCCGCGAATGGCAGCACTGTCGAGCATGGCTACGCCGCATCAAGCTGCTAGGAAAGATTCAAGTCTTTCTTGGGGGCCACTTGTAGCTTTGTTCTGCTGCTCGTCTCCCAGCTGCAGTCTTGAATGTACGAGCCTCAACTGACCTTTCAACATCCTGCCCACCGGAGCCTACCAAAGTGGACGAGTGAAAGCCACTCTCCGAGTGCACCATGCTTCAGGCCACACGAATAAAAGAAATACAAAGGGGCAATGCACCACGCCTGCAAACAAGCTTGAGGCACTGGTGCTGATGACGACGTAGTCCTGAGCAAAGTTGCTAGGCACTGCTTTCGACCGTTGCGATCGCTGGCTTTGATTGTTCGCCCCTGCGGTGCCGGCCGACTGGCGGTCAGAAGTTCTGCTTTCGGGTTATCACACATCTAGTCTCTCCCATTTGGCAAACAATCCACCACGACCCCTCCAGGCACACCCCTGTTAGGGGCGACACGTATTCCCGCAAAGTCCGTCCGCGCACCCGCAGCTTGATTAAAACTAGGGCGGATCACCCACGTTTGCCGCGCTACGTTTGGGCATGGATGCAGTGGTGAATGGATGCGTTAGAAGCATGCAGACCTGAGCGACACAGACAAAGTGCGGCAAACGAGGGCGATCGACCCTAAATCTAGAAAGCGTTAAACGCAACGAGGTAGCAACGAGAATAGATCATCAACTCATACCTCCATGCATGTATTCTTCCATCCATTTATTATTCCCTCGTTCGTCCACGCATCCGTCTACTCATCCGTCCATCCATTTGTCCATTCATCCACCCATCTAGCCCTCACAGGCTTTCAACAACAGCTTTCAAGGACAACCTCAAGCTCGCTACGACACGCTTTGAACCACAGCTTCTCACGACACCCCGCCAACAACGGCGTTCAAAGGCAGCATCGTGCTCGCTACCTCACGACACACGCAGTCAACAACAGCTTGCAAGACTGCAAGACTTTCAGACTAGATGCCAATGCACGCTCCATCTACTGGCAGGATCCACAATCCTCCCCCCCTCCCCCTCCCCCCTCCCCCCTTCCCCCCCCCCCCCCCCCCCCCTTCCCCCACCTTCCCCACCCCCCCCCAGCTTCAACACGAGTCTCCGTTCATTCACCCAAGCCCCGGCGACGCATGAGAGGGTCTCAGCGTTGCCGAACTTGACCTGGGAAGGTGTGGGAGGCTTTGGATGCTTTGGCATCGGGTCAGAGAAAGAAAGAGGTCTGGTCCTGGGTCTCTGGCAGAATTCCAGGGCCGTGCCGCATTGAAACGCTCAGACCAACAGCTCATTCGAAGCATTTGGCCTTGGGGACTTGAACGTGGGGAGGGGTAGCTATGCAGGGTGCTTCCTTGGTGTTAATCATGACTCTCCTTATGACATTGCCTTTGACTGTGACTGTCATGCTCATGATGATGATGATGATGATGATGGTGATCAGTGATGACGATGACAAAGATGAAGATGGCGATGTTCTGTGTTAGGGTTTTGGGTGTAGGGTTAAGGGGGTCTGG